CCTCCTCTCTTAAGAGGAGTTGTCAGGTGGCATCTCTCTCCCCACCTTTCTGTTTGCGAACTTGGAAGTCAGCTTTGCCAAGCGTGTTGGGGCTGTGTGTCACCATCAGTGATGGGGTTCTTGGCAATGTCTGAGAGGTTCTCCCATGAGGAGATAACAATTTTTAATGTATAACTGTCAATCATGTTCGTTTTGGCTGCTCAGAACCTTTTCTTTTCTCTTGTTCTGGTCTTCATCACTGTCCTTGATAACGAATCTGCTGGAATCCCGAGTTCGTATTAGGCAAGACAATACCCTCTATGCCCGCTGGTGGGGCAGATAAGACCTCTGTGTGTGAAAGTTGAGTAAATGAGTCACATATGTGGGATCATTCTGTCAGCTGTAACATCCGATACCCGTGGTCCTGACAGTTTCTGCTGCTGGAGATGGCTCCAGGCTCAAGAGAGCAGTACAGGGGGTGGCTGGCATGAGAACCCAGAGAGGAGAAAGATACTCATACTCACAAGGAAAGCCTCACATGGCAGAGTGGTTAAGAGCAAGGGCTGCCCAGGGTCGAATCCGACTTTGCTACTTGCTATGTGTAAACTTGGGCGATTTACTTAATCACATTGTTCTTCAATGTCCTACTCTGTAAGATGGAGGTGACAGTGTTGTTGCAAGGACTAAATGAGTTGCATGGAAATCCTTTACAACATGCCAGTCACTATTGTAAATGATTGATAAATGCTACTATGATCATTAACCCCGGTGGTCAGAGAAGGCTACAAGGAGGAGGTGAGACTTGGCCAGATCTTGAATGGGGGCTGAGATCTGTGGAGTGAGTGAGTGAGTGAGATCCATGGAGGTGGAAAGGAACAGGCAGGGTTTTCTCTCCAACAACACAGCCTAAATGAGCAGTCTAGGAGATGTGAGATGGGTGTGTAGGGGGAGGGGGACGGAGGGGGGAGTGGCAGGTGGGCGAGGAGACCAAGATGGTTGTGCTTTGGGGGAGATAAGATAAGAACTGTAGAGTCAGGTCAGCTAATAAAAGTCTTGACTTCCAGCCAAGGATGTAGCCCATGGGAAGTTTGAAAGCCACATTTTGACTCTGTCCCTCACCAGCAGCGTGCCAAGAGACAAGTCTCTTCCACTTTATGAGGCTCAGTTTCCCCATCTCTAGGAGAGACTGATATAGCAGCATCCACTGATGAGGGATGGAAACAATGCACAGAAAGAGCAAGGGACACTTGAAGTACTCAGTATGTGAGAAGTGTTTTTGATTATTCATTCAACAAACATAGGCATGCCTTTTCCTGAGCCGGGAACTGCAAGCAGCTGGAGGTAGAGATGAATGAGACATTGTCCTTGCTCTTGGATATTGCACAGTCCAGCCAGGAAGCCGACATGGAAATGCAATTGCAATAGAGATATAATAAAGTGAAATAATAATACAATGTACATATTGAGAGTGGGCACAGAAGAGGGACGGCTAGCCCTGCCTGCGAAGCCAGTTGGGAACACAAACAGAGGTATACTGACCTGGTCTTAAAACAAGAGCTGAGGGTGGGAGGAGTGAGAACAGGGAAGGATGTTTTAAGCCAAGGGAATGGTATGTGCAGAAATGTAGGACATCAGAGGATGGATGGCAGCTGGGTGTGGCTGGAGCCTGGATTGTTGCAGGAAAGGAAGTTGGAGGGAAGCATGGCCGAATTTCCAATGGACTTACCTGAGAAGGTCAGACTTTATCCTGGAGGCACTGGGAAGCCTTGGAGGATTCTAAGCAGGATCATGACTTGGTTAGACCACTTTGGTGCTGCGTGAACTAAGAATTGTAGGAGGAAAGACTGGCTGTAGAGGGGGATCATTGAAGAGGCTTATTAATATTCCAAGGAGAAAATCGAGGAGGGTCTGGACATGGGGGCTGTGGTGGAGGAGGGATGGGGGATGAAAAGCATTTCCAGGAGTTTTTTTTAGTTTAGATGATTTAATTTATTTTATTTTTTTAAAGATTTTATTTATTTATTCATGAGAGAAACAGAGAGAGAGAGAGAGAGAGAGAGTGAGAGAGAGGCAGAGGCACAAGCAGAGGGAGAAGCAGGCTCCATGCAGGAAGCTTGATGTGGGACTCGATCCTGGGTCTCCAGGATCATGCCCTGGGCCGAAGGCAGTGCTAAACCACTGAGCCACCAGGCTGCCCAGTTTTTAGGATTTTAGATGGTGGAACTGACAGGATCTGGTGATTGATATGAAAAAAAAGAGCGAGGCTGATTTCTGGATGCCTACCTTGATCAGAGAAAGCAGGCAGGAGGAAAGGGCTTGTGGGAGAAGGGTTAGGAAGTCCATCTTGGACGTGTTGAGGGTGAGAAGCCCATGAGACACTCAGGTAGAGCTTCTCTGGAGGCAGGTGGAAACAGGTTGAGAACATGGAAGAGAGGTTTGTATCAGAGCCACTGGAAAGTTCTGAGCATGACTGCATATGTGCACATGTGTGTGTGTGTGCATGTGTGTTGATCACAGCAGTATTTAGACAGGTGTATCTGGCACTTGTGCCAAGAGAGCCTAGTTGGGGATGGACAGGGGAGACCACCTAGGAGGAGACTCTTGCAGGAAGCCAGGGGTGAAGGGTGAGAGTGTGGGCTATGATGACTTAGGAGCACAGTGATCAAAGTCAAAGGTGATTTTGTGCCGCTGGGCAAGATTCCTTTCCTGTCCACAGGAAGTAGGTACTACCACCAAGCTCATGAGGTTGTTGGGAGGGTAATGGTGAGATGCATGGTGAGGGTCAGTATGGTACTGGGCACTTGGCTAACTCATGGTCCCTCAAACCTGGCCGAAGAGGGGACATGTTAGTGGGTCACCCAAGAAATGTTGGTTGAAAGCAGTACCTTTGCCAAAAGCAGGGAAATGGGCACTTTGCTGCGGGGATGTAGATAAGCATGGCTTTGGTGGTGGAGTTTGAATGTCAGAGAGCTGTCTGAGTAATTGTTCAGCACACAGATGGGGACGCAGAACTGGCACCCAGGGAAGAGGCCCAGTCCACAAACACAGGCTGGGGAGTCCTTAAGCCATGGAAGTGAGTTATGACCAAGGAGGGCAGGGAGAAGGAAGGAGTGTGGAGGGCATAGACCTGAGCCAGGAAGGGTCTATGATGGCAGGTGTGGGACACAGGTGAATCAGCAGAAAGCAAAGAACAGCAGAGAAGGAGAGGTCAGTGAGTCTCTAGGAGCTGACTCTTGGAAGCCAGGAGAGGGAAGGCTCAGGCAGCCAGCAAACCAAGCTTGCTTCTTGCATCTTCCTAAGTATAGCATGGCCCTCGTTTGTGGCAGGTGGGAATCCTTTTTGAAATACCGGCCATGTTGGATTATCTAGAAATCACTATGCCTCTTTATTTGTACAGATGCTGGAGAGATGGTTGTGCTGACCAGGGTCTTCACAGACTGGGGCCAACGAGGTTCTGACATGAGGCTCCTCATGAGAGCCCAGGGATTTTCCAAAGAGCTATTTTTCTAGCTCTCTGGCAACCCCTACCATAAATGCAATGGGATTCAGTTTATTTAAGAAAATCATTGTGGACAGAGCTTTTGGGGGATGCAGCTGGCAGGTAAAAGAAGCTCTCTGTGTGTAACACACGTAGATATGTTAAGGCTTGTGTGAAATGCAGATAGATGGTCGGTGGATAGAAGGAGAGGGAGCTGTGTTCATCACAGGGCAGGAGTCTTAGCGGGCGGAGGGAGTGTGGGGTGTGGTGGTGGTGTATGCATCTAATATTAGGTATTAGATCACTGTGTGGGTATTGATTCTGCATTCAGCCTGTGTGTGTGTATGTATTACGGAGGTGGGATAAGGTCTGATAAATGACAGTGTGTGTGTTTCTGGAGTACAGCTAACCCCCTAAGAGCCACTGAGCAAATAACATAAAATGATGTTGGAGGTAGGAGACAGTGTGTGCATGTGGGCGTGAGTGTGCACTGAACAGCGATTTGTATGTATATGTGTGTATCCTGGGGCCTGCACGCCCATGTGCAAGTGCATATGTATGTGTGTGTGTTTCCCCACAGGGTCTGTACGTTTGTAGGTTGTGCTGTTTCTCTGCCCGCCTGTTGCTTCCTCTAAAGTCTCCCAGTAGGTGGGCATGTGAGAAAGGTTTGGAGAAGGAGGTGACCTGGCTCCCAGAGCAGGTCAGAGCCCCGGCCTGCTTGAGGAGTTGTAGCTTCTCTGGAGGAACTGTCCGCATTTGGATGAAGACCTCAGGGCCAGGCCCAAGCAGACCCCTCCTAGGTGAGGGCTGGCTACCCAGAGGCTGCAGCAGGACCTAGGGACAGGGCCTCAGAAATGATGTAGTCTGCCTCTCTCATTTTTACAGGGGAGGGCCTGGTGGCTCAGAGAGGTTACGTGCCTGGGGTGGGAGTCACATGGCACTTTGAGGCACAACTGTGTTTTCTGACCTCTATGGATAACTTTTCTCCCCTGGTCGGGTGGGAGGTGGTTGCATCTGGGTGTGCAAAGGCTTCAAGTGTGGGTTGTGAGAGATTATATGTGTCTCTGGATCACTGAGTGCCTATGTGTGTCAGTGTGTCACCAAGTGTGAGTGTGTCTCAGGTAAGCTCCATGTGAATGTGTCCCCATCTGTCTTCGAGGCACAGTGGAATGCAGGGGAGGAGTGTACTTGAGAAAGTCAAGACTGCCTGCCTGCCACACCTGGCTCTCCTCTGATTCTGCATGTGACCTTGAGGGTCACTTCCCTGCCCTGGGCCTCAGTTTCTTGAAATGTAACATGAGATTTGGGTCCTCCTGGACTGCGTGACCCCGTGTATGAGGCATTGACTCCCGGGAGCAGCTCTCTCTATATCTTGTTCCTAGCAGAGCCTTCCAGCCTGGGTGACTTGTGCCAGGACCTGGGTGGGCTCAGGGACTTTGAACTCATCACCCCCTGGGAACCCTGTTCTTGGTACCCCCACTAATGAGCCCTCCTTTCTTCTCTCTCTCTGCCTTACCCTTTCCTGCACCTTGCTGGCCTGCAGAGGAGCACCCCATGGAAGGTGAGTGATGCTTATTGGTCATTGGGGTGGTGGACCAATCACCATGGGGTCTTATATGAGGGTGTGCCATTGGCCACCTAAGGGCTCCCTCTCCTGCCCATGTTTGGGACCTGCTAGGGAAGGATGTCTGGGGGTCCTCTTGGCTGCCTCAGCCCCATGTCTTGCCTGTTCCCTCTTTATTAGTCTGCTGGGGAGAACTGCTGGGCAGAGGGCAGGCCTTTCCACTTGCCAGTCTTCAGTGCTAGCCTGCCAGCTGGCATTTCCTCCTCTTTAGGGAGGAGACAGGAGTAAGGGTGAAGGGATGGCGCTGGAGGATCTGAAGTGCCAGAAGTGAGTGAGGAGACAGCTTTTTTTTGCCCAGCCCAGCTGAGGGAGCCTAAGATGGCCACACAGTGTGGGGGGGGGGGCGCGGCTGGGGACTGCTTGGGTGGTCTGCTCTGGGTCTGAAAAATGCAGGCAGAGGGTGGGGAGCTGTGTCCCTGGGTCACTGGATCAGCAGGTGTAGGTGGGTGACGGCTTCTCCACTCTGACACTTGAGCAGGCCCCCCCCTGTCCCCAGGGCTGGTAGGTAGGGGCGATCTCCTTCTTTCTTTGGCCCAGGCCGTAGGCCAGGGGTAGGGCAGAAGCATGCCTCTCTTTGGAGTCCCTCTGTCCATTCCTTCCCTGTCTTCTGTTTCATTTGCCTTCTCTCTCTCTCTCTCTCTCTGGTTTCTGTGTTTACCTTTCTTTTTCTCCAGGGCTCTGTCTCTGGACCTCTTTCCTTGCCTCGGTTTTCCCCCAGGCTCTCCCTGGGCTCCTGTCATCTTCTGAATCTTCCCCTCTGGCTTTGGTTGGCTCTGTCCCTTTTATTCCTCTGGGGTGGATAAGGCCAGGGAGAAGGGATGACTAGGTGAGATGGTCCCCCAGCCACTGTGGAGAAGGCAGGCAGCAAGCTGGGCAGGAGGTGGGACCCGGTCACCATACCTGGCCCACATTCTTACCCTGGAGAAGCAAGAAGCAGGTGGTGGTCGGGGGGAGCTCCAGGCTGGGAGCTCCCTGGGCCAGGGCCCTGGCATGGGAGGAGCAGGGGACAGCCTCCCGAGTATGCTCGAGGATGCCCGAGTCCTGGGTAGGAAAGAAGGGGAGGGCTTTTGGCTCAAGTGTGGCCTGGAATCTGTTATTCCTTGTGGTGTCCATGGTTTGGCTTGTTGCTTACTGACGTCTCTTCTCCTTGGGTGACCACCGTTCCCCTGATCCCAGCGGGCAAGCACCCATCTGAGTGTGTGTGTGAGAGAGAGTAGTGTGTATCTGTGTGCACACGTGTTCGGGAGGTTCCGTTGCTGTGTTGTGTCTGTGTGCCTCCGTGCACGTCTGTACCTGTCTGCTTGGGTGCTGGTGCCTGAGCGCATGTGGAGGCGCGCGCACTCCCGTCATCGTGTCTTCTGTGGCATGGCCCACATCTCTGTGTGCCTTCGTAGTAGTGTCTGCATCTATGTCTGCATCTCTGCATGTCAGTGTTTACCTCTGTGCGTGAGAAAGAGACAGTCTGTGTGTCTGGGTGGACGCAACCTTCTGAGGGCTGGAGATAAGATTTAGTGCTGATGTGACTTTTACTTGCTCTTGATGTCATGTCTCCTCTGGAACAAAGGGAGAGATGGAGGGAGGAGGAGAGAGGGAAATGAGCCTGAAGGGAAAGGCTTGTGGGGAGGAAGGATGGGGCAGAGAGATGGGAGAAAGGAGGGGGGTAAGTAGAGGCAGGAAGGAGAAGTAGAGGGAGAGGCAGAAAGGGGAGAACTTGTTGGGGGGGAGAGCCAAGCTAAAGGAGAAAGCAGGAGGGCCTTTGGGGAGAGGTGACCGAGCCAGGAGGGGACAGAGAGGGCCCAATTCTTTTCTGAGCACGTAGGGTAGACAGGGACAAGAGGGGACACTGTCGGGGACAAATGGGGCATGAGGCCCTACAGACACTGCTGAGCCATTTGTTGGGGGCGGCATGGTGACCTGTTGGCTTGGAGATGGCACTGTGTGTGCCCGCCTGTCAGCGTGTGTGTATACACACCCGGGGCTGTGACGCCTCTGTGTGTCTGTCTCTCTGTGATGTGTCTGCTTGTGTGTCTCTCAGTCTTGTCCCCTGCAGCTATCTTCCTTCTCTTGATGCTGGTCTTCTTGGGGGTTTAGAAGTGTTAAGGAGTGAGACTGGGAGTGGTTCCAGGGGGTGGGGTGGGCTGGGGCCTCCTCTGGGGCACAATGCTCTGGACTCTGCAGTTGAGATCTTGGAGTCCTCTTTTCCTGCCCCTCAACACTGCCTCAGGCCTAGCTTTCTCCTGGGGACCCGGCCATCCTGCTCCCCAGCCCCTGACAGCATCTCCTGGGGATTCTGGTTGCCCTACCTCCTTTCTCCCTAGCCTCTTGTAGCAGGGAGAGAAGACCCAGAAGCAGCCAGATAAAGTGCCCTAGGAAAGGACCCTTGGTAATGCCATCCATCACTGCCAGCCTCTTCTCCCGGGTGTGGGAGGAGGGGCTGATGCCACAGGTGGATGTGGGGAGGGCTTACCCAGACAGCCTGGGCACGGGGAAGGAGAAGAGATTTCAGACCTGGGAAATGGGGGTGGGGGGGTGGGCTTAGGCTTTAGGGAGCGTACCCTCAGGCCAGGCTGGCTGGAGCCAGGGGTAGACAGGGCAGGGAACCGGCCTCCCCTTCACCAAGATGGCTGGTGCTGTCATGCCTGAGGGAGCTGAGCAGCTGGTTGCCGTGGTGACAGAGGGAGAGTGGCGCATGCTAATGAGGCTGCCTGGGAGCTGGGCAGTGGAAGGGTCTGCAAGGGGAGAGATGAGGCTCTGTCCCGCCCCATGCCGTCCTACAGGTCTGCGGGCACAGAGGGCCAGTCATAGGGCACCCAGCTCCTGGGCCTGGGTTTCCAAGGATAGGAGCCTGCAGAGAAGGCTAGTTCTGTCTGGGAAAGTTGGGTAAAGGTTTAAGGCTCTGGGTCTGGCTCCTGGATTTAGGGGATTGGGAAGAAGATGCTAGTGGATCTCGGGTAAAGTTTGTAGGGGGCATTCAGAGCAAGGAATTAGACTCAGTCCAAATGCTTGGTCCTCGCCTGTTTTGTGGATAAAACCTGTGTCTTCCGGAGAGCTGTTCTATCCCGATGCAGCCCTTCCCAGCTGCGGTCCCCTCCCCCAATTGGCTTGGGACGCAGAGGTGGGGGAGACCCATGCCTTTCCCCCAGAAGAAGTTAAGGGGGTGATGTGAACCTCTGCTCACATCTTCCACAGGGTCCAAGCCTTTGGCCTGACCTCCTGGGGCACAGGCATCCTGGCCTCTGCTTTGTCTCAGAGGCACCTGGAGTTCTTTACCTTTATAATCCCACACTGGCCTGGCTTTTTGTCTCTGGGGCTGGCCACCCTCTCATTGCCACAGCGCTAGGGTGGTTTCCAAGGGCTGCTCCTTCCCGACCCTTTTGGCTAGAGACCTGGGACGCAGGGTAGGGGGCAGAGGGAGGGCCTGGCTGGTCATCTCAGGGAGCCCTGGGACCTCAGCTGTGCTGTGGGACCTGGTGCTGCCAGCCTTTCTGGGGGAGGGCTTTCCGTGGCTGGTGTTCCCCGAGGACTAGGATGCTGGTCCCATGGGCCAGAATCTTTCCCCCTAAGGTTTAGGAAGGCCTGGGTCAGGGCTGAGCAGGCTTTTACAAGGGGCCAGGTAACTGGAAAAAAATATCCCAGCCCAGCTTGCCTGCAGTCTTGGAGAGGGGCCTTCTGTTTCCCATTTTCCAAATCAAATCAGCTCTTTGCTCATTTCAGAGAAGGCCAGGCCAGAGTAAGGGGGTCCGTAGAGTAATTTTGACCTCTCAGAGAGCCAGACCTCCTGCCCATGGGCCTTGGCTGCCCTCTTTGGTACTTGGTGTCTCAAAGCGTGGGCCCCAGTCCCCTCATCAGGATCCAAGCTCAGGATCTCTGCTCCCGCATTTCTGGTTCTCCTATCTGCTTCTGCTCGAACTTTATCCTGCAGAATCCGGGAGTGCAGCAATCTATATGGAGGTTATTGGTGGGAGGCAGCTGAGAGTTCTGGGGCTGGACAGATGCCTTTCTGAAGCCCACTTTGGTGGGAGATTCCTCCTAAGCCCAGGCCCCCTCGTACTCCCCTCCATCTTTTCTCCAGGCTCACCAGGGTGTGGGATGGGGTGGAGGGTGGGGTCGGAGGTCCCCCCTGCCCACTTAATCCCACGCTAACAGGACACTCTCTCTCTCTCCAGGTGGCTTTGATTTTTGTGTCGTGTTTTATTTTCTCCTCCATCCGAATCGTTTTTTCTCGTTGACTGTTTTTTTTTCTCTCCGCCTCCCGGAAGAAAAAAAAAAAAAGAAAAAAAGAAAAAGGAAAAAGCAGCCCTCCCAGCCTCATGCTTCTCCTCCTTTTCCTTTTTTTTCCGGCAAGAAGAAAAAAAAGAAACCAAAATCTCCTCTCCCCCCTTGCAGTGACCCCCTGCCCCTACCCCTCCTCCCGTTCTGCCTGTAACCCCTTCACCCCCTTTGGTCCCCCCTTTCCTCTCTCTCTCACTCTCTCTCTCTTTCCCCCCCTTATGCCCTCCACCCTGTTTCTGGCATCTGGGGGGGCCCCCTCCTCAGCTTCCGGCCTGGGGGCTTTCCCCTGATGCCTGTCACAAGTTAAAAAGGGTTTTTAAATTGTGGCAGCAAAAGCTTTTTTCTCCCCTCTCTCTGGCTGATTTTGATGACTCGTGTTTTCTTTGTTTCTTTCCCCTTTTCTTCTTTTTCTCTTCTTTTTTTTTTTCTCCTTTCTTTCTTTCTCCCCTTCCCCTTTCCAAGGTCCGGCTCATCTGACGTTAAACAGCGAAGGTATGGTTTGAAGTTCTGGTTTGGATTGGATTGGATTGGATTGCCCCCAACCTGCGACTGGATTTTCTGTTCCTCTCCCCGCCTCCTCTCCCTGCCTCCACCTGTCCCCCCTGCCTTCCTGCCCATCTTGCCCGCTGCCTCTGTCGTCTGTCTCTTCGTGTTCTGGGGACTGGGGTGCTGGGGTGGGGGGGGCTGGCCCCCATCTGTGCTCCCTTCTTCCCTTCCTCTGTCCTCCCTGCTGTGCTCCATCTGCCCTCGCCCTCATCTCACCTTGGTTTCTGACATCAAGAGATGTTGCAACTCCTGCCGCTGTCTCCAGTCACCCTTTTGAGTTTTCCTGGTAGTGTATCTTCTTTTTCCCCTCTCATGGTGGTGTTTTATTTCCTTCCACCCATTCCGATCATTCTTTCTTTTCTGTGGACCCAAATTCAAAGAGAAAAGCATGGGCTGGAGGAAGAGACTTTTAGGCAGCTTTGCTGACCTCCCCCTGCGGCTGCGGGGTGTCCTCTCTATCCACAGTGGCAGCGAAGAGGGGTGGGCAGGGTAGTGGAGGTGCAGGATGCCCCCTTCGCACAGCTGTCCCACTGTCTGCCCTCACCAATATCTCTTGACCCTGTTTGACAGATGAGGACATTCAGGCCCAGAGAAATGAGGTGACTGGTTAGTGGGTAGATGGCATTTAGTTGGTGGTACCATTGGGGTTGCTTCTCTGTTTTTAGCCTCCCTTCAAACAAGTCCCTACCATCTTTCAAAGACCTGGTGTTCAGCAAACCTGACGGCCCAGGAATCCTGACTGTAACTCCCCCACTCCCCAGCGCTGAGCTCTTCCAGGTCTCCTGATCATTGGTTCTTGAGCTCAGGTATCCAGATCCTTAGGCATTGCTCCCCATGCCCAGGGTGGTCCTCCATTAGGGCTCATTGTCCATAGGGAGTCTTTAGCCTCTAGGCAGGAGAGGCCTACCAGATGAAGACTAGGCCGCGGGGAAAGACTCAGATCTGGAATTTGGGATGGATTTAGGTTTGGGAAAATAGGGACCTGGGATTCTTGCAGGGATGTGAAATTATGGCAAAAACTGTAAGGGTAAGGGGACATACCAAGGGGGTAGTCAGGACCCAGTTGGTTCACTCACATACTTCTTGCTTCTCAATGCCTGGTTCTGGGGGTGTTGGCGGTGGCACACCTTTGCCATAGATGAAGACGCAGAGGATCCAGAGCCCTGCCCCTTCCTCTGAAAGGTCCACAGCCCACAGCTCAGGTGTTATTCTGCTTTACTTCTGGGGTTGTGGGATTGAGGTAGAATAGGGGCCCTGACCAGACTATTAAACTCCATTCTTGAGGTCCTCATCCCCGGAAGCCATCCTACAGGGTCTGGCAATAGGTGTGGGGGCCTGGGAGCCAGACACTGAATGTACAAGTCGCAGGCAGGGGTGGGTGGAGAGCTCAAGCCAGTCTGGAACCCAGATGTGTGTGTCTGCGGGGGCTTCGGAGATGAGGCTTGGGGGTTGATGAGTGGGAAGTCATCCCTAAGAAAGGCCTTCCCCACATCCGCGATAAGCTCCATCCAGGCAGAACCTCTGTTGGTGTCCAGTGCCCTGCTAACGGCACAATGGAGGGACAAAGAACAGATGGAAACCATGGCCCTGCCCCTGGGAAGCCCCATGATCCGTTGGGCCGACAAGGGGACAAAGGTGACGTTAAGAGTGCTCTGCTGAGTGAACCAGGTGTAGATGGAGAATCAGGTTTGCCTTAAGGACAGGCAAAGAACACAAGAGGCCTTTGGTTTGTGAATCAAGAAGGTTTGGGAGGAGGGGTGCCTGTGTCAGGCTTTGGAAGGACTTGAGGAGCATGAACTCCTGCCCTGCAGGAGAAGGTGGGAGCGAAACTGCAGAGTGGGGAGGACAGTGAGCAAGATCCTGGAAGTGGAGGCTTGGGGACCCGCAGATCCGCAGGGCTGGCCTGTTTGCAAGTTCTTGGAAAAAAGATGCTCCTGAGCCAGCAGTGAGGCCCCCGGTCCTCCTGCAGTCTCCCCACTCCTGGGTAAAGGGCAGAAGTTGGTGGCTGTGGGGTCTCATGGGGTCTGTGGGGCTGATTTGGCTTGTCATCTGGCTCCTTCCCCAGAGGCCCTGGAACAAGTGAGTCCTCAGAACAGCACCCTTTCCCCCACCCTCCAAGCAGGACCTCTACCCTGGAGAGGGCCTTCCATCACCTCAAGGCTGGGGTGGGACTCGCTCAATAGTCCCCTGTGCCTGACTCCCCAATTCTGCTTCTCCAGTAGGGTCCTTACTGTTCTCCGAGGGGGGGGCCGGGAGAGGAGGAGCCGGCGATGTGCACCAGCCAACGAAAGGTCAGTGACCCCACGATCCCCAGAGAGCCCAGCCCTCACTCCTCGCAGGCTAACTGCGGTTCTTGGGTTCCTGGGGGGCAGCTGAGTCAACAGAGGTGTACCCCTTAGCACCCTTCTGAGGTCCACAGAGACTGCTGGGCCTGCATCCCTGGGACCTGCCCTGGTGTGAAGGGCCACAAACCTCCATTTCTTTCCTAAACCCCAGTTGTCCTAATGACCCTTTTCTGGAACACAGATGTCTTTTGGTGGCAGTTATTCAGGTCTATCCCTGGGAACTATCTGGGAAGCAGGGTAAATCTTTACCCCACTTAACCATCAAATTCTGGAAGCCTGTGAGGTGCCAGCAGCCTAGGGGATTCTGGTTAGGAGACATGGCATTTATAATATGTAGTATCACCTACATGAGCCTTCACCACCCTTTGCGGAAGGGTTCATTGCCCTGGGTTTACAGGTGGGGAAACTGATTCTTGCTGGAGATGAGCCCCTGCAGCCAGCTTGAGGCCTTTCCATCCATCTCAGGGCTATATAGATTTTCAGCCACTTTCTGCATTGAGGCTGCCAGGCACTGGGGCTCTCGAGTCCTGTTTGTGTTCTGTAGCACTTGCCGTGGTGTTGACTTGGGTTCCTGCCACCCCTGCCTTTCTCCCCACTGTTCGGTATCTCTCTCAGCCAACTCTTGAAAAAATGGCCAGGCCAGCCACACTGGAAGTCTCCCCTGAACTCTCCGGGCAAACCCACACACTGTTCCCTTTGTCTCCACGTCTATTTTATCACTCACCACCCTGCATCATAGCTGCCACTTCACCTGTTTGCCTCCCCCATTAGAGTGAGCTTCCTGAGGGCAAGGGTTGGTTGTTGTCATCCGTATGTCCCCGGTGCTTTTACACAGCTCCTGGTACATATGTAGGCATGTGCTCAGCAATTTTCTTTTTTTTTTCTTTTTATTTTATTTATTCGTAGAGATGCAGAGAGAGAGAGAGAGAGAGAGAGAGAGAGAGAGAGAGGCAGAGACACAGGCAGAGGGAGAAGCAGGCTCCATGCAGAGAGCCTGACGTGGGACTCGATCCAGGGTCTCCAGGATCACGCCCCGGGCTGCAGGCAGCGCTAAACCGCTGAGCCACCGGGGCTGCCCAGCAATTTTATTTTCAATGGGTGAATGGTCTCTGTTCTCAAGGAGCTCATTGACATTCTAGCAAATAACTACAAGAAAGCATGGTCCATGCAAAGTGTATGAAAAGTGCAGACTTTGTCCAGAGGAGTTAATTTATTCATTCATCTAGAGAGAGAGGCAGCGTGCGTGCACACACAAAGTTACAGACCAGTGCAAAGTAGTTTACTAGTGAAATAGTTTGTAGTTTATGAAGCTTCATCCTGTCTGTTCTCTTTCTAGATGCCTCAGCAACCTGTAAGGTAGGCCGACGGTTAGTTAGCCTCTTTGTCCAGAGGAGAAAGCTGGGGTTTAGAGATTTGCCTCTTGGTCAAGGTCACCAAGCTGGGGGAAGAGCCAGCATTAGGGCTCAGGTCTTCTTTCTCACATCCCACTTCCTCTCAAGGGAGCAGTACAAGATGTTACTAGGCAGTAAGTGCCAAATGAGCAGAACAGACAGCTGTAGTGCTTGAGAGTAGAGAGGGACCAAGGAGGGCTGGAGACCTTCCCGGAGGAGGGCTTTGAGCTGGGTCTGGAAAGGAGGCAGCCTGCTCTGTCCCTCAGGGCTCTTAGGAGTCCAGAACCGTAACAGTGGTCTCCAGCTGCATTCAGCTTGACGGGGGACACTTGTGAGGCTCCATGCTCCCTGACCTTGGGAGGTGAGCAAGTATCAGCCCTGAACCCCCCTTCGGGGGGGTAGAGTAGGGTGCAGGGTGGGCATCAAAAGCTGCCCTTGTTGCTCAAGCCCTGCTGGGAGTTGTAGTTCCCCGGGGGGGTGGGGGTGGGGTGTCTGCAGGCAAGTGTGGGGAAGAGCGCCCCCTGGTGCTGTGGGTCTGCCTCCTCCCAGGTCTCCTTTGTGCTCCCCTGAGCATCACAGGCATCCTTATGGCCACAGAGTCCTCCTCCCCACCCATCAATCCTTTGAGGTCCTGCCGCCCTCCTCCCCATTCAGGGTCTGTCTCTGTTCTTCCCACCATCCTTAGGTTGTCTCGTTTACATTTGCTCATCTCCTTTTTGTCCTTCTCTTCCAATATTTACCCGGGTCTCTCTGGCTGCTCCAAGTCTCTTTCCGTCTCTGGGCCTATCTGGGTTGGTGGCGGTGGCGACCGGAATTGGAGAACACATAAACGGCTCCGAATCCACGGTTGGCCTTGCCTCCTCTCCTAGGAGATCCGAGGCAGAGCCCAGAAGACTCGAGGAATCTCCCTGTTTCTTCATTTTGCCTTGGCAGCTGTGGTCCAGCCTCTGGCCCTCCTCTCTGGTCTCTTTTGTTCTGTCCCAATCACTTTTTCACGTGATTGCTTTATTCTTTCTTTCTGTTTGACTGTCCCTTTAATGATCATTACTTTGACTGCAGTGAAGGTGAGGAAATGGGAGGGGAGGCCTGGCTTCCGGGAAGGACTAGTATGTGTGGCAGGCCCAAGGTCAGCCGCACTCCCTGCTCTGGTCTTCCCCCCACCTCCCCCAGGGCCTGGGCAGTGGGCCTGGTTGCTATGGAAACAGCCAGCTCCTCCCCCCCCCCAAGCCTTGGCTTTCATTCCCTTGAGGCTCCTGCCCCCTCTCCTTGCTGGCCCAATTCCGTCACCCTCACCTGTTCCCCCTCAGCGTGCTGCTTGTCTTAAACCAGACTGCTTCGCTCTATCACCTCTTGCTTCGTCCATTTCCCTTCTGTCCCCCATGGCCATTTTTCCCCTTCTCTGTGGTCTTCCTCTTCAGTGCCCTTCTTCCCCATGTCCCCTTTCTGTCTCTGCCCGACTCCCCTTCGCTTTCTGGCCCTTCGCGCTGGAGCCTGAAGGTAGGCAGAGTGGGGTTCCAACTGTCCCTGTGGTGCTTATGCCCCCACCAGTCTTGCTGCCCTGTGGCCTCAGGAAACCGGGCCTTGCCAGCTGCAGTGAGTGCGGTGCCAGGCTCTGGGGCAGCAGCTGGGGCCTTGGCATCCGGAGGCAGTGAGGATGGAGTCTGTGGGCAGTCTGCCCAGAGGGAGAGAAGCAGGGCTGTTGTGTGCCGGGGAGGGGCATTTGCAGAAAGTGCACCCGGGTTGCCGCCGCTCTTGCACGTGGTGCTTGCTTCTGTGGCCTGGCTCACAGAAGCGCAGGTGTCTTCTGAGGGCTGTGCGTGCGCCCTGGCATTGCGCCCTGTTCCTTCCTGGGCCTGGTGGCTGATACTGAGCACCCCTGCGCTCCATGCAGGCGTGATGCCAGCCATCGCCATCCCCATCCACCACTGTGTGCTGGGGAGAAGTGAGTCACTGTCATAGTCCAGGTCCTCTGTTCAGCCCTGACTCCGCATCCCATCCTCTTCCTTCTGTGTGTGCTCTAGCTTGTGAAGATGTGGGGCTGCGACCCCCACTTCCCTCCACACGGCTGTCGTCCTGCCACTTGTCACCCATTTACAGAATGTTACAAATCTCTAAGGTTCTCCCAGTCTTTTTTTTTGCTTCTGCTTGAAAAGTGCCTATGGAGGGAGCCCTATGTTGGGTGCTTACACACACAGACACAGATGTACACCCACATGCACGCACACACGCATGAGACCTGAGCCATCTGCTGGCACTCAGGGGTCCTACTCCTGCCTTCTGGGGCCCCTCCTGGGGCCTGTCTGCACTGTCCTCTCGGGTCGGACTAGAAGACGGGGCTGGGGCTGGTAGCTGGCGTGAGGCCATTGGTATGAGCCCCACCCGCTGACCCACTGCTTCCTGGTGCATGTTACCACCACATGCATTGTCTTCCTGTGTGTCGTCCTCATGCTCCACCCCACCATTCCCTGTCCTCCTTTTCTGCTCCCTGCTGCCTGACAGGTCGGCTGGCCCCATCCCCCCCCTTGTGAGGCCTGAAACTGCCCCAGGCATTGAGAGTGACCTTCACCAGAGAAGAGGCAGGAGTGGGAGGTGGGCTGCACGCAGGAGACCCTTGGTACCCCAGCCTTAGTGGAGGCACTCCAGAGAGAAGTCAGGTGGAGCCTCTTATTTCACTTCCACATCCCTTTGTTCAGGGGCGCGACCAATGGAGGATTTGGGCCCTGTGGCAGCTAAATTGTCAGCTGCCAGTGTGAGAGCCACTTAACAGTCTCCTGCTTTGGAAATGGACAGGGGCGAAGCAGACTTCTGACAGTTAAGACAGCTGGGTCCAGAGAAGAGGATGGACAGGCTGGGGGATGGGAGAGGGGCTGAGCTTGCAGATGGGCCTGCGGGGCTCCAGCCAGTAGTGGCCAGGCCCCATGCCCTGGGGCTGCTGGAGGGGCAGAGGGCGAGCTGGTGTGCCCTACCCCACTCAGGCTCTCCCATTTCCCCATACCACGGCATCCAGGCAAGGAGGAGTTTGTGGCGACCTTCAAAGGCAATGAGTTCTTCTGCTACGACCTGTCACATAACCCGATCCAGAGCAGCACGGACGAGATCACTCTGGCCTTCCGCACCCTGCAGCGCAACGGGCTGATGCTGCACACGGGCAAGTCGGCCGACTACGTCAACCTGTCCCTCAAGTCTGGGGCTGTCTGGCTGGTCATCAACCTAGGCTCAGGAGCCTTCGAGGCCCTTGTGGAACCTGTCAATGGCAAGTTCAACGACAACGCCTGGCACGACGTCCGGGTCACCCGAAACCTGCGCCAGGTAGGGGGAGCAAGAAGGAGGCCAGGGGACCAGCTGTGCTAGGGCAGAATGGGGGTGTGGGGAGGGGGCAGCCTGCACTGTGGGTGTGAGGCGTCAGGGCCAGGCTGCGAGGTATGGTTCTGGAGAAGTTTGAGGCTTGCATTGTGAGGGCCCAGGGGCGCAGGGCAATGGGCGGGCTGCAAGCACCAGGAAGCTGAGCTGAGAGGAGGCTGCAGAGCTGCCCAGGGCTGGGGCTTGAGGGAAGGGACAGGGTCTGTCTCACACTGGTGGCAGTGGCCAGGGTTTCAAGGGCCCTGGACTAAGAAGTCAGGTGACCCAGAAGGAGGGCAACTGGGGAGATGGAAGAATGGGTAGAGCATGGGAGGGTGAAGTCCTGGGAGCCTGTGAGAAGGCTCTGGCCTGGCGGAGTAGCTGTGGGTACCCTGAGTCTAGGGCAGAAAGGCGCAGATGAAAGCCTGGGGTCTGCAGGGGGACAGAGTGTGGCCCACCTTCAGGAGGGTTCTTTCCAGGGCAGAGGCAGGGATGGGGTCTGGGCAAAGTGGAAGTGCAGGAGGTGTGAGGGAGAGCAGTACTGCAGAGCATGTTTGGCTCCACCTCTCCTCTGGGCAACACACTTCCTTCTTTCCCTTCCCTGTGGGCCCACCAGCCCCTGACTATCTTTCTATGGCTCCCAGGCCCCTTGCAGGAGCCCAAGGAAGACTCTTGGGTCAGCCCTTGAAGGATGAGATTCCTCTCTGCAGAGGTCCCTTGGCTTTGGCTCCCACATGGACTGTCTGGAGAGGGCATAAGCTCTGTAGTCCTAGAGGGGCCCTCTGTAGCACTTATACAACCTGGGGGTGCTATGGCAGCTGAGGACATCTCTGGCCAGGCTTCTGCTGGTCCTCTTAGCATCCCCCCCCCCCCAGCCCAGCTTGTTTCTGGCACTGACAAGTTCTGCCTCTAGCAGAGTCCATGCCAGACCCTTCTATGAAACAAGAGCGAGGCTGCTGTGCGTGCAGGTGGTGCCTGTCTCCACCTTCTGACTCCTTTCTCTGTTCACTTGGGCAGGGGCCGGGGCTCAGGCTTTTCTCTGCTCCTTTTCTCAGGATGCACTGCTTTTTCTCACAGCCAGTGGCAGGACAGCTTGTCCAGCTCCACTTCTAGCAAGCTGAGTGCCGCCAGGGATGGAGACCATCTCTGTCCCAGGAGGCACCACTGCTGCTGGGTTAGGGCCTCCTTTTGCTTAGCCATCCTCTCTGGGCTTCCTAGATCTAGCTGTGCGACAGCTAACCTTCCTTTGCCTCTGCTCCTTGTCACTGTCCCTGCCAGGTTCCTTCTCCTCCCCTTCCTCCTAGAAAGGCTTCTCAGTGGGAGTAGGGATGCTGGCAACCTCATACTCTTTTCCCCCTACTCTTCCCCACTGCTGAGTGATGACCTAATGGGGGACCCTCCTCCCCTTGCTGTGAGGACTCTGTGGTGAATCGTGCTGTTCTTTCCCAAGCCTGTTGCTCCCTGTTGCAGTGGGGCTCCGACCTGTGTGCCTGTCCTCATTGCTCCTCATGCTCTGAGGAGTGCCATGCTCAGGGTGAGAGGGCTGCTCAGTGCAGTGCCTTGCTTCGTGTCATATCATTCTCTGACCCCATCAGAGGGCTGTCCTGGTTGTCACTATTGTCTGAGTAAACCTGAGTGTATCATGTATAGTTGTTATACTTGTCGGTGCAAAACACATGGCACCTACTGGGGGGACGGGGCAGGGGTAAGGGGAGTTGCTTTTGTGCTCCTTGCTGGTTTTCCCTCTGCAGGACCAGGGCTGTCACCCAGTACTGACTCTGGCACCCCGCTGCAAGCCCACATGTTGCTGGTCAACAAACATGTTGTACATTCACGATGCTACAGAAGGGAAAAAAGACAGTCCCTCCCCACCTGGTTCTCCAGCTCTCAAGGAGACAGGATGAGTCTGTTAAAAGTGAGCAGAGCAAAGCTATTCAAGTGCCAAGTGAGCAGCAGGGGCCTTAAAAGTTCTAGGAATTTGAGAGTCACTGAGAGGAGGGTGAAGTCTGTGACTAGGGGAGGCAGGAAAGCCACACACAGTGGGCAAGGTCTGGCCTCAACAACACTGAGTGTTGACAGTGACCCGGAGTGGCCTCTTTTGTGGCTCCCAGAGTCTGGGGATCAGGCTGGTAACTGCTGGAAACCACTTCCCCCACCGCCTTTGACGATGAGTCAGAGCAGAGCCTGGTCCTGGCAACCCCGAACACAGGCCTGCAGGCCAGAGAGGGTGTCTGCATAGAGTTGGATTGAGAGTGCTCTTTAGGAAGGGTTTCTGGAGGGATCCACGTCCACACATGCAAGGTACAGTCCTGTCTGGGTCACTGACAATCACCGAGAAGGTCAGCCTCGGGATTGCGCTCTGGATGCAGTGTCCTCCCTCGAGGCCCAGCCTGTAGCCAAGTCCATTCCCGGCAGACCTTTTGAACCCCTGCCTGTTCTTCAGGGCTTCTCAGAACAAGTGACTGGGTCCTGTCATCCCTCGAGCTGTGCTTCTCGACCAAGGACAGTGTGTCCCCTCAGGAGACACTGCCGATGAGACAGCTGCGTCCTATCCTTGTCATCATGTTCCTTCCGCGTGGTCAATATGTGTGTTCTTTCTCTCTACCGGGTGGTACGCTCCTTGACGGCTTAATAACCAACTAACTAGTGAGCATGTGTAGTTGTTTCTGGAGCGGTTTTTCTAGTTCTTTTAGTCTCTTTCTTGAAGCTGGTTAGATACGAGATTTTGGGTACGACGACCCAGCAGGTCTATTTCACACAAACATCGAACTGCTTCTGATGCCTTGGGAATACCTCCTCTTCCCTTACAAAGCTGGAGGAAAGCCTCTCCCTCCAGCCCTCTGGATTGTTCAGGACTGTGTCCCCCCTCCTTGTTTTTTACAGTGTTTCTCAGAAGACACTGGCATATCTCTTTTCTTTTACGAACCTTGCCTAATTTTCATGAACGATCCTGTGAGGTGAGACATAGTCCCATTTTATCAATTAGCAAATCGAGACTCAGCACCTTCGAGAACTTGCCCCCAGTGATCCATTTAGGAGATGGTAGAACCAGGACTCTGACCTCAGAGCCATGCCCATTTTTCTGCCTCCCAGGGAGAGCCTGGTGGTTGTCACTGGTGCAAAATGCAAAGACTGCTCTAATTTGTCATTTGTCTGGTGGATCTGCCATTCCTGGATGTGCCCAAATCTTGAAACATCTGAGCATCTGGCATATCTCTCTGAAAAACAGGCACCCCCATCCCTGCATAGAGGGAGCACCTCTTTGTCCCGAGCTCCTCTTGCTTACGCTTCACAAAGGTTGCCTGCCTCCAGATTTCTGTGATTTATGATTTGTGTGCAGAGTTCCTGTTTTGGCTCTCTTAAGGGTAAAGGGCCCTCTGTTTCTGTGGGTGGGGAAAAGCTTTACCCCGTGGGCTAGTGGGATTCCTCAGTATTCCCTATCCTGGCATCGGGAAGGCATGGCCTCCTGGGTACCCCTTTCACATGCTCCACTCTGGTTGATTTGGCCACCATCGCCATGGCTTTTGGTTTCTGGACCCTCCCCTGCCTCTCCTACTCCAACCTTGCTATTTCTCAGAGGAAGCCAGGATGTCTTGAATTAGTAGAAGTTCCAGACTTTGAATCACATCTCTATCCTCTCAATTCTGTCTCTGAATTTGCCATTCTACTTGTTAGAAATGAAAGTTGTCCCAAGAAAGTTGAAAACTGCTTTTTTTTTTTCCCTTTCTTATTTTAGTCTCCACAACTAGTTCTAGTTGTGGTAGTTGGATTTTTACCACCAAACCCTGCCCCCTGCTCCCACCTTTTTCTTCTGCCTTGCTTGACTGGTCAGTGATACCGGACAACTCTTACTTTTTTGGGTGCAATTGATTTAGCTGCCCTGAAACTAATTGTCCCTTGTCCTGACTGGTTGGCCTCTTCACTTGGTGACAGTCCTGCCAGCTGGCAGTATTAATCCGCATATCCTGGGTTAGCCCCTTGCACCAATCACTGCACCTGATATTAGACTCTTTCTTGCCTTCCTGTTATGTGAACTGCCTCGGCATCACTAATAATTGATATTGGTTATTCGGCACTTTTTCTAGCTGCTAAATATCGAATTCTGTTATTTTTCATTATACGAGGCCCTTATTAATTGTCTTTCTGAATTAGTCCTGTGCCCACTGGTTATAATAATGCTGTAATTAATGGATCTGTCCCTAGAATACTTCTTGAAATCACATTCTTGGATGTGCAATTTAGTGTTTAATGGACATCAAGCAATAGTGTCCCACCATCTCTGATATGCTCAGTGAAGCCACCTCGGTCCTTTTGATTTCTCTTCCACAAAGACAAGGGTTATGTGGGAAGTGATTGTTGCCTCTGCCTTTGGCCTCGAGAAGAGAAAATAAACAGAGCCACATGGGGGTGGGGACTCTAGAGACTGGGATACAGAAGAGGCGGGTTTACAGCTTAGGGAGGTGTAAGGAGTTTTAGAGAAGGGTGGGCCTCTGTGTTCCTTTTTATGTTGTGGTGTGGGGGGGATATGGATTTCTGGTCCTGACTGTGGGGAGTGGAGGCTCAGGGGGGCTGTGGGTGTGCATGGAAGGAGGCAGGGCTGCTGGGGAAGCCTTACCAATTCCAGGGATTTGCAAGGGGTGGGGTGGTGGGGGTGGGGCACTTAACTCCAGGACGGATGGTTGTGCAGAGGAGTATAAGAGAATGAGGCAAAAAAAAAAAAAAAAAAAAAAGAGAATGAGGCTGTTTGAAGAACCTGGGGAACTTTTGCAGGGCGTGGGGGTGGGGGTGGGGGATGGACCCTGGAAAGTCAAATTAGGCAGGGAGGAGGGATCAGCTATGAGTGGGAGAGCAGGAGGAGAGGGAGGCGGATTGGGGATTAGATATGCTGTGAAAGTTTGCCCTCTGCCAGCCCATGGAGGGCAAGGTTTCCTTTTCCCTGTTCTGGTGGCAACTCTATCTCTCTTCTTTTCTCAAGGAAGAGAAACAGTAAAGGAGGAGCTGCCCCCTCCCCTCCATGACTCCCTGGATCAATTTGCCTATCCTCCATGCCCAGGAAAAGCAGACCCCTAGATCCCTTCCTATACTCCTTGTGAAACCTTTTCACTTTGCCTCCAAATGAGATTGTCTCTCATTCTAGCCAGTCCTGTGATTCTCTAGGGGGCATTGGCCACTCTTCTCCCAGCCTGACAGCCAGCTGGCCCATCACCAACCAGTTAACCCATTAACTCGATATGGTCACTGATCAGCCAGTTGGCCAGTTCTCTAGAAAGCCATCTGGTTGACCAGTTAGCCAACAACCCATTGTCCATTACCCAAGTCAACAGCCCATCCCTTTCTCGCACCCCTTGTCCCTCCCCCCTCCTTTCCCTCAACTCCCTAACATTTCAGCTGAAAGGACTTACTAATACTGCATAATTGGGTCTGCTTCTTAACCCCCTGCCTTCCCTCTCTCACCCTCTGTTGGAAAACCCCGTTGCCGACTCTGTGTGTGTTACTAACACGCTTATAACCCCCGGGGGACCAAGGGATGGGCAGGGACAGGTGGGGTGAGGTATGAGTGAAAAACCGAACTAACCTTTCTGTCTCATTGCGGAATGTCAGCCATCTTTAAGTCTTTGCTTTCCTGGTCCAGTTCTTTTGTTATTTTCTTCTCTACTAACCAAGGTCTTTAACTGTTCCCCTTCTCTGCAGCCGGCTCTTCCGGGAGGTGGGTGGACTGGGGAGCAGAGGAATCCAGAGGAGGGGTTTTGGAGGGGGGATTGGGAGAAGGGATTTAATTTTGTTGTGTGTTTTATTTCTCCCTCCCATTATAATTTAATTTTCTTTAAACAAAATACCTCAGTGGAGACTAAGGTGGGAGGGTCTGAACAACCAGCCAAATATATATGGATATATATTTCTCCTCCTTCCTTGAGTTTCACAGTTGGTCATTTTATTTTTCTTTTCTTTTCGTTCTGTTCTTTCGTTGTTGTCTTTGTTGTTGTTGTTGTTGTTGTTTTTTTTGACCCCCCCACCCTTCCCCCATATCTCCGGTGAAGCACGCAGGGATTGGACACGCTATGGTAAACAAACTGCATTATCTGGTAGATATCACTCTAATTGTCTTACCGTTTGGTTTGCCGTGGGTTTTTTTAACTGTTCGATTCTCCCTCTTTTGTTTCCTTTCCCCGTTTGGTTTTGGTTGTTTTGCTCTTCTGATTGTTTTTGGCGTCCTGGACAATCTTTAGATTTTTGCTTCTCTCTCTTTTAGTTTTCCTCTTTCCCTTTGCTTTCTTTTTTTGGTCCAAACTCAAATCCAAAAGACAAATGGAAATCAAGGAATTTGGCCTGTCCCTGCCCTACCCCCGACTCCTGAATTCAGATTCTTGGCCAGAGAGACCTGGGGGCAGGCCCCATGTTCATCGGCTCTGGTTAGACCAGCCCCGATGCCAGGCTGCTTATTTCTATTGCTTTATTTTGTTTCTCCCGCCCCCCCTCCCCCGGCTCCCTTGTTTTTTTCTCTTTGATTTAGTTTCTTTCTTGGTCTCCTGAAAATCCATGGAAAACACCATCCCATGACATGCTATGCTCTGCTCACTGTCAGCTCCCGGACAGGGCCCTTGAGCTGGGGGGGGGGGGGGGGCTGGGGGCGGGCCTCCAGTGGCAGCCAGCTGGGCAGGTTCCCCGGGGTGGGGGATGGCCCTGGGAGATGCCGAGTGGCCTGGGACCAGTCCAGAGCTCCTGCAGAGCAGCAGTTCATTCGAGTTTGGGGGGGCCTGTCCCAGACTGGCTACCACGGAAGAGGTGACATCCCCTCCCTCACTCCTCAGCCTTGAGGGTTTGTGGTTCTATCTCCCCCCCCCCTACATTTGCATGGCATGAATGGTCTTCTCCCCCCAGGAGGGATAGTGGCCAGTTTCCCCCAACGCTCTGCTGTTCTGACTAACACTGTGTTTCACACTGTCTTCCTCCCCTCCCATCTCCCCTGACCTCCGTCCCCTGCTTGTCCTGCATGGCCTCTGATGGGGTGGTTACCTTCCCAGGTGAGGGGATGAGAGGAGGAGTGCAGCAGGGTTGAAGTTGGGCTAGTTGTTGCCAAACTCCTCTGCTTCGGTTGGGCTCAGTTCCGGTGAGTGTCAGTGTGGGTGTCTGTGTAAACGCAGCTGGTGTGTGTTGGTGTGTGGGTGCGACTGTGTGTAAATGTTGGTGTGACATTTAGGGGGTGTTAGTGGGAGACTGTGCTGTGTGTCTGTGGGCTTCCACTGGTGACTCCACACACGTGTAAATGCTGGTGTGAACGGCAGGCTACTTGCTGGAATGGAGGCAGGCAGTGGGGGCTGGCCCTTATGTCTGGGGACACGATGGGCAGGAGCAGAGCAGGAGCAGAGTAGGAGCTGGGGCTGGCCCTTTGCTCCTCGCCTCGCCTGGGGGTGGGGGGGGCGGGGTGTGCCTGCAGGCTGTGCTGTGTGACATCCCCTGGGATTCCCTCGGGCCTGCCCATCCCGGCTCTGCAGCAGCAGGCAGTTAGTCATCACCTATTAATAATGCAGAGTGATTGAGCACCAGGCTGGGGACCCTGCAGATGGACGTGTCTGTTCCCATGGGGCCCACGCTACTTGGGGCAGCTGCCTGGCCTGCCCAGCCTCCCCGATCTCTGAGGCTGCCTGGCTGGCTGGCGACAGGGGAAGCTTGCTAGCTGGGGCTCCCAGTCTGAGTGGCTCCCCCACCTCCCTAGGAGGCTCGACCTCTGAGGCTACGTCTGACCTGTCCTGATGCTTCCGCAGGCTGTGTTTCCCTGTACCCACAGACACGTGGAGACCCTGTGCTCTGCCCTGTTCCTAAGGCAGTGCCCACAGCCATAGCCATCTCAGTGCTCCCCAATCCAAAACCTCATCTGCTCATTCCCAGTCATCCTGGTGTTCCTGTATAACCGTGCAGTGTCCCAGCGCCATCCCTTCCACGGGCTCTGCTCTCCGGCTGCTGCTTCTAGAAGTTAGCTGCTGTCCACCCCTTTAGGCCAGGCCAGAGGCTGAGCATTTGGACAGCGTTTCTATACAGAGTTTCACTGGACAGCCAACCTGTGGCTTTGGGGACAAAAAGGAGGCAAAATAAACTCCTGTGGCACACCCCAAACACCTGGGGAATTCCCTCCGAGAATTAGGACTCTGTAGACTTTCCTTCTGGTCTTGATTCAGTTAAAAATTGACCACATGAACTTGGGCCAAAGGTCTGTTTCCTCAACTTCTGAATAGCTGATAATATACCTGCATTGCCTATTTCATGGGGTCAATGTGAAGATCAAGTAGGGCATGGAAGTGAAAGCATCTGTGCTCTGTAAAGGAAATTATAATTTTATTAAGCTTTATAACATGTTAACTGATTATCTGTCTCAGTGTTTCCAGGGTGAGGATGTTTTTGTAAAGAAGTGATTCCTTCCCATAGCAAGCCCTAGAGAATACAGTGTCTCTGGACCCACTGGAGATCCTGTTCCCATCCCTTCTTAGGAATCAGTCTCAGGATGCCCGGGTGGCTCAGCGGTTGAGCATCTGCCTTGGGCCCAGGGCATGAACCCGGAGTCCTGGGATAGGGTTCCACATCGGGCTCCCTGCATGGAGCCTGCTTTTCTCTCTAAGCCTTTGCCTCTCTCTCTCTGTGTCTCTCATGAATAAATAAATAAAATCTTAAAAAAAAAAAAAGAGAGAGAGAATCAGTCTCAAAAATAATAGCACAATACCCCAGAATGTCTCAGGAATTGGCCTGGGGAGGAGGGCAAAAGATGGAGGAATGCAGTTACATTGGTTAAGAGGCAAACAGCAATGTCTGGTTTCAGCCCTGGCAAGGAAAGTTCCTACTAATTTCTAAGTTTTTAAAGTCCACAGTGTGAATATCACGGCTTGATGACCAGGGTTGATTGCCTCCCAATGGCCTGAGTCACCTCATAAACTCTTGAAAATTTTTCCCCGGGAATCAGCACTTTCGGGTGAGGACTGGAGTCAGAGCATGGGGCCCCAAAAGAGATGGGGTTCACCCTGTTCTTACTCCCACGCATTCTTCAGCCCCAGTTCCAGGTGATTTTAAATTTATTTTTACTAACTCATTTTTATATGGTCTCTTTTCTTGTTATTTGAGTGCTTCTCCTTGGTGGAGAGGGTGGATACAGACCAAAGAGGCCAATCCTTTGAGAGATTTGGGTCAAGTTGTGTCAGGACGATGGAAGTTTTCTTATAAAAATAATAATTTTTTTGCTCACACACTGGGGTCTTTGATTCTCCTAAATAGCTCTCACATCCTGAATATAATTTATTTTTTTTATTTTAAAAAAGATTTTATTTATTTATTTGACACAGACAGAGAGAGCACAGAGAGGAGAGGCAGGCAGACGGAGAGGGAGAAGCAGGCTCCCTGTGACGTGAGTCCCGATGTAGGACTGGATCCCAGGACCCTGAGATCATGACTTGAGCCTCAGGTAGATGCTTAACCGACTGAGCCACCCAGGTACCCTGAATATATATATATATTTTTTTAAGATTTATTTATTTATTTATGATAGACATAGAGAGAGAGAGGCAGAGACATAGGAGGAGGGAGAAGCAGGCTCCATGCCGGGAGCCCAATGCGGGACTTGATCCCGGGACTCCAGGATCGCGCCCTGGGCCAAAGGCAGGCGCTAAACCACTGAGCCACCCAGGGATCCCCTAGGTGCCCTGAATATAATATAAACTTGACAAATGCCTAGATTGAGGTATCAGGCAGAGACTGTTGTCAGTTAGCTTATGGGAAGACTGAGGCCTAGAGACAACCAGGGGCCACATCGCAATTATGGAGGGCCCAATGCCTTTACTTCTGCTATCTCATTTGATCCACATCATCAGCCTGGGAGAAGCACGAGGGATAGAGATGTCACACCCCTTTTATAGATGAACAGCAAAGATTGTTCTGAAAAATGGGATAGGGGAAATTGGTTTCTTTCTTTCTTTCTTTCTTTTTCTTTTTTTTTTTTTTTAAGATTTATTTACTTATTTATTTGAGAGAGAGAGCACATAGAGGGAGAGGCAAAGCAGGCAGCTGGCTGGGCAGAGAGCCAGATGTGGGGCTCCAACCTAGGACCCTAAGATCATGACCTGAGCCGAAGGCAGATGCTTAACTGACTGAGCCACCCAGGTGACCCTGGACCTGAAGGTTTCTGACCTGAATTCTTTCCCCTCTAGCCCTAAACTTTATCAAATCCAGACATCAGGAGTTGCTGTAGGACTAAAACTGCTGGCCAGGTTATTTTCCTGTGAGTCTATTCAACCTAATTCTTTCTCTAGCTTCTCCCTACCCCAAACAGATGGCCAAACTTGAGCACATAGGAGGGCTGACCCTCAGCCGTCATTCCCCTGTTTTCATGCCCTACTCCCACCCACTTAATCCCAAAGGGAGGCCTGGGCCTTCTTCCTAAACTAATTCTTTTTTTTTTTTTTTAAAGATTTTATTTATTTATTCATGAGAGACACACAGAGAGAGGCAGAGGCACAGGCAGAGGGAGAAGCAGGCTCCCCTCGGGGAACCTGATGCGGGACTTGATCCCAGGATCCTGGGGTCATGACCTGAGCCGAAAGCAGATGCTCAACCACTGAGCCACCCAGGTGCCCCTAAACTAGTTGTTCTTAATCACCTTTGGCTCCTGGATCCCTCTGAGAATTCGATGACAGCAATGGACTAACGAGAGAATTTTGCATACCTAGGACAGCCTTCAAAATCCCAGAAACCCATCTATCCCATCCACAAGTCAAAAACATCTGCCCTCAATCTTATTCTCCTCTGAATAAGTTCCCCTCTTAGGGAGGTCAGTGACCCTGTGATCCTAGCAGACAACTGGGAAAGGCTCCGGATGATGCCAGAGGGGCTCTCCTTCCTCAGCCTTTCTTCCTGGGTCAGGCCAGGCATGGAGTATGCCTGTGGGGATAGTTGTGACCAGGACCTGTTTCACATCCCACCAGCCTGTCTTAGAGGAGACAGGCAGAGCAGAGCAGGAGAGAGATGGGCCCATCAGGGAGGGTTGAGATCCCACCCAGATCGGAGACTGCCCCTTGCAGCCACCTCCAGCCACCCTCTATGCTCCTGGGGCATAGAGGGAGGCTGGATTCCTGTGTCTTCCGTGCCTTACTCCTCCTTCTCTGACTGCGAACGGCTGTTCCAGGGCAGAGCTGTGCCTCATTCCCGTTGGCTACTCAGTCCTTACGCAGGGCCCTGCCTGTCTGGGTTGATGGATTGATGTGGGTTGGGTGGCAAATGTCTTCTGTGTCTCGAGTCCTAGCTGTGGTGCTTATGACCGAAAGGAGGATGCTTGGAAACGAGCGGGTGGGGACTTCCTCCCACTGCCTTGAGCAGGATGTGGTGTGCGAGCAGGTATGTCTGGGTCAGTGATCAGTAGTTGAATGGGTAGTGGGAATGAGTGTCTGAGTCACCCTCTGCTGAGGAAGATGAGAGCCTCATGTCCCTTCCCTTTCTTTCTCAACCCATACATTGTCTCTGTCCTAGTGGTGGCTCCTCTCTCCTCCTCCGTTGGAAGGAAGCTTCTCCTTCCTGCACCTACAGCTCCCTCGCCTCCATCTCTGCTCTTCCCCATCTTCCCTGGCCCCGCATGCCTCCTTACCTGTGGCTGCCTCTTCCTCTCCTCCCCTGCTGGGCCTGGCTCCCAACCTTGGCCCTCTAACCTGCATGTGTCCCACCTGCAGAGGCTGTTCTGTCGCACGGCCCCCCTGCCCTCCTCCCCCGCCGGCCCCACCCCTTCCAGAAGCTGCACAGGGAGGGGGGTTGGGGGGCAGGGGCATCACGAACCCCTGGGGTGGAGGGGGACGGGGGAAATACTCCCCTGTTTCCTGCTTTTACTAACGAACCCGCCATTTTTGTGTCTGGACTTTGATTTGTCGGAGGGAACAGTTGGGTTTTACTAATCTCCGTCATCTCCCTCCTTGCCTTCCCCAGAGACTGTCCTCCATTTCCCCTACTCTCAGCTTCCTTTCTACCCAGTGCCCATCTCCCCGTTTCTCCCTCTACTTCCTCCAGCCCCAGGCTGAGCCCCCACTTCCTCCTATGTTACCCTGTCTCCTGCTACCCTCTCCCCCAGCCCCCAGGCCGGGGCTGCTCTAAAACACAGTTGCGAATTTGGGAGGCAGATAGGAGAGTGAGTAAGGCAGCCCTTTCCCAAAAGGGGCACCACATGGCAGTGACTTGCATAAAGCTGTAGTGGGCGAGGTCAGATTCGTGCCAGCCTGAAGGGGAATTGAGGAGGGCACTCCCGGCAGGTTAGGTCCTTCTAGCTGTAGAATGGCCAAGGCAGATGGGCTCGCTGCATGGACTGGGCCAAGGAGAACCCACAGGGTGAGGGAGATGCCAGTACCTCAGCCCCAGCTGGGGCTGAGGATGCAGCTGGGTGGCTCAGGGGAGGCTGGAAGGCCAAGCTCACTGAGGGAGGACAGGAAAGCTTCTTCCTGGGGATGTTTGGGGCCAGTGTTTCTCTGCGTCGTGAGGTGACTTGATGTTCACCTTTGATGACCATGATGTGCCCCTGGATTGTGCTGGGATTAATGTGGTTATGGGGACATGTCAGGCTGGGAGCTGACCCTTTAGAGGCTGACCATCTAGCTGAGGTGACCAGACACAGGCTCAGGAACTAATTAGTGGCCCACTTCCTGGTCTTGAGGTGGCATCAAGAGTGGAGGTGCAAGGTGGGATAGAGCTGAATTTGCCCCAGGGAGCCCCCTTCACCTACCACCCCTCCCCCTGTCTTATCCCACCCCTTCCTCCCAGTCCTCTACTTCCCTTTCCCTGGCCCCCTTCTGCCCATTCTAATCTTGTTTGCATGTTTTTGTGACTAATACTTTGATCCTTCCCTTTTCCACCCAGATCCCTACTTCCCAGACTCAGGTGGGTGGAGGGAAGAAGAAATAAACAATAATGACAACAGCCCTCCCCTTCAAATAAGACTCAAAAACTTTCAAACTGACCCCTCCCACAAAGACTTTCTGTCTTTGAACCTGGTCCCCCCAGCACAAGGTTTGATGGTTCCCAGGAGGGGGACCCCTTCAGCCCTCACTCTGCTCAACTGTACCCCCAATCTCAGTGAGGGGGATTCGAGGGCCCTGTGGGGGAAGTTCCGCTTGCCTCATTTTGCCCGTGTTCTTTAGGAGTTCCTAACATCCTCCTCCCTACCCCCATAACAATGGAACCCTGGAGACTAGTCTCAGGTCCTGGCTTGTGGCTTGTGCATATGGACTGGTATGGGTGGGTCATCACAGGATGTGACTGGAAGGCCCAAATCTCCACACGTTGCCTGAAAAGAGGGTCCTAAAGCATGTTTGGGGATTGGAAGTGGGGGGTGAGCTGTGGTCTGTGGGTGCACAGTGTTGGGTTCACTGTGAGCCAACTTCCTGATGGCCCCTATAGGAGCCTGCCCACTTTTCCTGGGTGACCATCTTAAGCCACAGCTTTCTTAGAGTGGGGTGCTCACAGTCCTGAAGCCCTTGGTTCTTCCTCCACAACCTTGCTGGGTCTGGAGCCCTTGCGGGCTGCTCCTATGGCTAAACTTTTCTGGGGTCAAGTGGGCATTTGTCTGGGGAGGGGGTAGATAAAATTTCCCTGCATTTGTCTCTCCTCTCCAGGGTCACTTCTGCCTTCCCCAGGCCACTGTTGAGCCCTTGTCATCTCCTTGGAACACTGGGTGCTCTTCTATCCTTACCCACGTTGCTTTCTTACCTGAATTTTCAGCCCAGGGTTAAGGTACCCTGGGGTTAGCCCTGTCCCCCTGTTCCCTAACCTGGACCTGAGTAATGAAGGTGGTGTTAGTAGGGAAGACAATGATGAAAAGAGGGCAGGCTGGTGAATAGGTAGAGGGCTGCCTCTCCTTGGGAGGCAAGAGAGCCACCGGCATATAGAGGGACTTGGGAAATAAACAGACCCTGGAAGAAGGCAGAGACCAGTGGGAGCCCTAGATGTTAGGGTGGTGGTGGTGGGAATCAACCCCAAGGGCATTATGTGTCCTTGAGGTAGTTCCAAATGCTGCCAGTAGTATCTGAGCTCCTATTCTGCATGCCCTTGCTATCTCCCACTTCCCTGCTGGGCTAAAACTGGAGGGACTCCTCAGTGCCCCAAAGAGACAGCTGTAGGTGAGGCAAAGCCACTAAGATCCGAGGAGAATTGGTGTTCTCTACCTCCTTTATGTGAGATGCTCTGAAATCACATGAAGATCCAGAGAGCACCTCAAGAGGAGGCAAGTGAAGATGCCATTTGCATCTCCCCATAATGGGGCCTTGTCCTGAGTTCCCCACTCCTCTGTGGAGCCATTTCCAGAAACTACTTCTTGGTGATCTTCATGGTGAGCATTCCAAGTACCCTTCAGGCCTCTGCTTGCTGAGATGGGGGCTGTGGGGCAGGCCTTAGCCCACCCTGAAACCATCAAATCTTGTGCTACCTCCTTTCCTGCCTTCCTTCTTTCCCCCCACTGTTCCTCTTCCAAGACAAGCAGACATAAAAATGGAGGGTCCCCCTCCCCTGCAGCCCCCTGGCCCCTCCCTTGCCCAGCCAGTGGCTTTTCCCAGGGAGTTGATGCCAGTTGTCTCCTTGTTTCTCCCCCTCCCTCCCTGGGCTGGGCAGGTGACCATCTCGGTGGACGGGATCCTGACCACCACAGGCTACACGCAGGAGGATTATACCATGCTGGGCTCTGATGACTTCTTCTACATTGGGGGCAGTCCCAACACGGCTGACCTGCCTGGCTCGCCTGTCAGCAACAACTTTATGGGCTGCCTCAAGGACGTGAGTAGGGCTAGGAAGGGTCTGGGGTCAGCCAGGAAACCCTTTGGTCCCTATCTTCAGTGGGATTTAGTCTGACGTGGCTAGCTGCCTGGCTCCTCTGTTCCTTCCAAGGTGGTGGGTGACCTTTCCTCTTCAAAACCTAATGCCCCTGACTCCATCAAGAGGCTTCTTCTCTCTCATTCCCTTGAACCACTGAAGGCCCCCTCCTCTCAGAGGACCCTTGAGGGCAGCAGTAGCACAGAGGAAAGAATATTGAATGTGAAGACCAAAGACCTGTGTTTGTCCTGGCTCTTCCACTCACTAGCTCTGTGACCTTGGCCAAGTCCGTTGACTTGTATAATTCTTAGTGTTTGTATCTGAAAAATGAGTAGTCTGTACCTACTTTTCAAGGTGGGTGTGAGAAGCAGATGAGAGTGTAAATAAAAATACTGTCAGTTGGAAGATGTCAAGGAGATGTTAGCAGTGACTGTCTTGCCATTATTATGCAACTGCAATTCAGCAGGCACTGAGGCTGCCCTGCTAGGCTGGGCCAGAGGACAGAGCACAGACCATAGTGGGACAAAGGAGTTCTAGGACAGAAGTCCAAGGCAGTGATCCCATGGCATTGAGGAGGGGACTCCCTCCACTCCCATGGTAGGGTCCCATGGTGGTTGCTGCCGCTGGGCAGGAGTGGCTGGACCCTGAGCAGCTTTTGCTTCTTCATCCCTGACCCCCCTCCACCCCCCCCACTCCCGCTGCAGGTGGTCTATAAGAATAATGACTTCAAGCTGGAGCTATCCCGCCTGGCAAAGGAAGGGGACCCCAAGATGAAGCTGCAGGGGGACTTGTCATTCCGCTGTGAGGATGTGGCTGCCCTGGACCCTGTGACCTTTGAGAGTCCTGAGGCTTTCGTGGCACTGCCCCGATGGAGTGCCAAACGCACTGGCTCCATCTCCCTAGACTTCCGTACCACTGAGCCCAACGGACTGCTACTCTTCAGCCAGGGCCGGCGGGCTGGGGCTGGGGCCGGCAGCCACAGCTCTGCCCAGCGGGCCGACTACTTTGCCATGGAGCTGTTGGACGGCTACCTCTACCTCTTGCTGGACATGGGCTCTGGGGGCATCAAGCTGCGGGCATCTAGCCGCAAGGTCAATGACGGCGAGTGGTGCCACGTGGACTTCCAAAGGGACGGGCGCAAAGGTCAGGAGGCCTGGAGGGTGGGGGACCCTTTCACCCTCCCCCTGCGGGACTTCCTTTCCAGGCCCCTCCCACACTGTTCTTCCCCTCCTTGCCCTGTCAGTCCCTTCCTTGTTCCTCCTGCCATGGTACATTGACTGGTAGGGGGTAGGGCTTGGAGTCAGCAGAGTGGGGTTCACACCTACTGTGTGTGGACGTTAGGCCCTTACTCAGCCCCTTGAAGCCCCAGTTTCATTATCTAAAAAAGTCCTTAAGAAGAGAAAATGACTGAATACCCGTAAAAGCGTTAGCATAGTGCCTACCACAGAGTAGATAGCCCATTCTCCTTTCCAACCATGCCTCCCTTCTAGCTAGGTCCATGCAGCTTTCATTTATGAATTCACTCAACAAATGCTTGTGGAGTACCTACTGTGTGCCAGGTGCTGTTCAAGGTGCTGCGACAGGATGAGGGCAGCTGAAACAGTCTTGGCTGTCTCGGAGCTCATGCTCAGGTGGGGGAGGACACAGATGCTAAACGACTTGACACTCCCACCTGGTGATGTTTCTAGCACAATAAAGTAGCAGGGAAGAGAGTGCTCAGGCCAAGCAGGTGCTATTTCTTAAAACTTCTGTTGCTTCCAGCCTCCCTTTCCTCTACTCTTCCTTTTTGGTCTTTTCTCTCATCCTCTTGTTTCCTGCCCAATTCTCTCTTCACTCTACCCCACCATGTTGACCATGAGAGAATGAATTGATGTAAAGGAGAACTGACATATTATCCAATGTGAGCATTTATCAACAACAGCTAAATTTTTATGTTCCCCCAGGTGTCACTGCACCAGACTCTTGAGACTGGGCGGAGGGGCCGTTTCCCCCCTCACACACGGGGAGGAGGGGCATGCTCTGGCTACCGGAAACATCAGCCTCTCAGGGCAGGCTGTTTCTTCCTTTCTCTTCCCCAGGGAAATGTCGCCTTCCCCAGACTTTATAGTACATGGGTTCATCCCCTGGTTTTGTCTCATGATGGCACCTGGGGGTCTTCACAGAGCAATTGCTGCCTCTCAGGGTTTCTCCATAGGTGACCAGTGACTTTCTAGATTGGAAGTTTGCCTAGGCCTTGCAGAAAACCCCAGGGCCTTCTCTTACTCTCTCCCTTCATTAAGTGGTCTTCTTAGCCTCCCACAGATCTCTAGAGCCCCCACGCCAGGTCTGGCTGGTCCTTGGGTCACTGTTTGACCAGCTCTGGCCATTTCTGATATCCCACGTTCACATATACATCTAAGCTCAGCCTCAGGGCAGGCATCCCAACAAAGCTCTCCTTGACTTTTTCCATGTGTTTCTTTTTTAATTGTGTTAAATGACACTTAACATTACCTTTTTAACTACTTTTTAAAGTGCACAGTTTGGTGGCCTTAAGGACCTTCCCACTGATATAACCATTACCACCATTCACCTCCAGAACATTTTCATCTTCCCAAACTGAAACTCTGTCCCTATGAAACACTAACTCCCTGTTCTCCCTCCCCCATCCCTTGACCTCCACAATCCTACTTCCTGTTTCTATGAATTGACTTGACTACCCTAGTGACCTCCTGTAAATGGAATCAATAATAATTTTCCTTTTGTGTCTGGCTCATTTCACTCAGTGTGTTTTCAGTTTCATCTATGTTGTAACATGTGTCAGCATTTCCTTCCTTTTTGTGGCTGAATAATATTCCATCCTATGTATATACCACCACACTGTTTGTCCATTTATCTGTCAATGGATACTTGGGTTGTTCCATTTCCATGTTTTAGAGCAAGGATCTTGGACCAAGACCTGTATTTGCTTTATTTTCCTCTTGTTGACTCTCCGTTATACATTCTTTTGCCATCTCTTTCTTTCCCTCCATCTTCCTTCTCCCACATTTGGTTCATTTATTGAGAGTCCAGCTGGGCAGTGTCCATGTCCTGGAGGCCCCCCCAGCAGGTGGGTAGAGTAGACAATCTGAGGAATCTGCTACAAATAGAAATGTGGGTGAGATCCGAGGGCCATATCTGGCAGCCTGGTGGGGGAATGGGTTTTAGCAGCAAGACCCTGGAGCATCTGACACCTTGTTGGGGGAGAACAAGCTAGGGCCATGTTATTAAAATAGGAGACAGGGGAGTGACTTCTCCAGTTCAGGAGAGATTTTGAGCAGAGGAGAATATGCTCCAGATGAGGATCCCCATCCAGGGAGGAGGCCCCAATTCTGCTTCCTTAGTTTGACACCGCATACTCATGCTTTAGTCTCCCATTGCACCCCCTACACTGTCCAGGATCTCTGGCCAGTGAGGCCTAATGGAGACCAAACCCTTATTACCTCTCTTTAACCCCATGGAGATGAGCAGACTTTTTTTTTTTTTTTTTTTTTAGAATTCTTCTTGAGAAAGGAGAGGGGAAGGAAAAGTAAAAAAATATAAACAGGGCAGCCCCGGTGGCGCAGCGGTTTAGTGCCGCCTGCAGCCCAGGGCGTGATCCTGGAGACCCGGGATCAAGTCCCACATCAGGCTCCTTGCATGGAGCCTGCTTCTCCCTCTGCCTGTGTGTGTCTCTGCCTCTCTCTCTCTCTCTCTGTGTTTCTCATGAATAAATAAATAAATAAATCTTTAAAAAATATAAACAGAATAGTTTCATTTTATAAACTTCTGCTTTTTAAAGATCTCAGTAAAGGGTTTTTTTTTTTAAGATTTTATTTATTTATTTGAGAGAAAGAGTGAGTGAGAGAGAGCATATGATCAAGGGCAGAAAGAGGAGAGGGAAAAGAGGGAAAAGCAGATTCCACTACTGAGCAGGGAGCCCCAAGCAGTGTTCTATCCCAAGGCCCTGGGGTCATGACCTGAGCCAAAGGCAGATGCCCAACTGCTGAACCACCCAGGCACCCCTCAGTAAAGATTTTGAAGCTCCCACTTGATCCCAAATCTTTTTCTTCAATATAACCAGCCTTTCCTTCCAGAGAATTCTGACAACACAGAAGCTGTGTTCCTAGCCTCCCCTCTCCTGGCTGTCATCCTGTGTCAGGCTTCAGGAGTGGATCTGCCTGCCAGGCAGAGGGTTGGATAATGCAGGCTCTGCATGGCACTTTGGCTCTGCTTCTTACCCTCTGGTGCTTCTTTGGGCAGGTTCCCCAATCTCCCTAAGCGTCACCTGCCCCTTCGAAATGGGATCATAATGGACCACTTTCATAGGGTTACCTTGAGACTCGGATGTGAGTGAAGTGCTAAGTGCCTGACATACAGTCTAAAAGTTCAATAAATGTTAGTAGGAGGAAAACACTTTGGATTCAAACCTTTTAGCTTCCTTAGGGTTCCATGCCTCTGGTTTCTGGCCTAAGGGATTAGCTGGGGGAATGACCTATGAGTGATCCAGCCCTTTTGGGGCATGTCCGCCTGCGGTTGGCATCCTCTGAAGACTCATGTAGGTGCAGGGAGAGGAGTCTGGACAGAGGCCCACTGCCCACGGCAGCTGGCTGGAGATGGCTCACCTGAGTTCCTGAACTTGGAATATTTGTCAGGTCATATCCATGGCAGCAAATAAGGCTGACCCTCTGGCCCAGGGCTACGGGTGTGGGGTGGGAGGCCAGGGATCTCTTTCTGGCGCATGTTGACTCTCTATCCTGCCTTCGTCACTGAGGCACACTCTCCATTGATCCCTAGGCTCCATCTCAGTGAACAGCCGCAGCACACCGTTCTTGGCCACGGGGGAAAGTGAGATTCTGGACCTGGAGAGTGAGCTGTACCTAGGCGGTCTCCCTGAGGGGGGGCGGGTGGACCTGCCTCTGCCCCCAGAGGTGTGGACAGCGGCGCTCCGGGCTGGCTACGTGGGCTGTGTGCGAGACCTCTTCATAGATGGGCGCAGCCGAGACCTTCGGGGCCTGGCCGAGGCTCAGGGGGCAGTGGGCATCACCCCCTTCTGCTCCCGGGAGACACTGAAGCAGTGTGCCTCTGCCCCCTGTCGCAATGGGGGCATCTGTCGAGAGGGCTGGAACCGCTTCGTCTGTGACTGCATCGGGACCGGCTTTCTGGGGCGGGTCTGCGAGAGAGGTGAGGCTGGTTTTCACTCCACATGTCCCCACTGCCCTTCCTTGTGCCTCTTCCTCAGGGTGCCCCTCCTTCACGGGCCAGCCCTGGGTCTGCCATCCTTGTAACGATCCTCTCGGTCTTCTCTTTCCCTCCACTGACCTTCACCTGTACCCCGATTCCCTCTTCCCCCACTTCTGGGGCAGAGGCCACGGTCCTGAGCTATGATGGCTCCATGTATATGAAGATCATGCTGCCCAATGCCATGCACACGGAGGCGGAGGATGTGTCTCTGCGCTTCATGTCCCAGCGGGCCTATGGGCTAATGATGGCCACCACCTCCAGGGAGTCAGCCGACACCCTGCGCCTCGAGCTGGACGGGGGCCAGATGAAGCTCACTGTCAACCTCGGTAACCACCCCAACTTGTGTTCTGGTCCCTTCTCTGTCCCTGCCTCTCACCACACCCCCTCTGTCTGGAGAAGCTGGTGGTAGCACCACTGAGAGTGGGTAAGGGAGGTGCCCCTGAGAGCTTCATCCCCAGCAAGGATGCACAGTGTAGGGGATTTGGCAACACTATGTATGGGGGGGTACCCTGAGTATGGCCATACCATCTACCCAAGTGCGCTTGGTATGACAACCGCTCTCCCGGGGCACTCATTTGGGTTTGGTGGTGTCTGTCTTGCATACACGTGTAACAATATAGCTTATTCTTGGTTGTCGGCTCATCCACTTACTCTTTTGAGGGTTCATTCATTTGGGAAGGACCTGCAGATGCCTAGTGGTGTTAAGCCTGAGCGCAGGTCAGCTTGTCTGGAGATGAAGAGGACCTGGCCCTGTACGTAGCCACTCTCATCTGCTCTGCGTTTAAAGAGCTGTGTGTTTGTGTGCATAGGTACACAGGTGACCCTGGACATCTCAGGACATATCTTTCTTGTCTGCTTTCACGTTTGAGTCCCATAGCTGCCCTGTGAAGCCACAGGATCACCTGCTGGGCTTGGCTTTACCTGTTTTATAGATTGTGAAATTCACATACTGACTTATCCAACATCATAAAGCCAGCAATAGCTCGGAAGGAGCCCAGACTCAAACCCAGGTCCTTTGCCCTAAAGTACAATGTTCTCCCATTGCCTTTAACAGGCTAGGGGATAGAGGGCAACAAGAATCCTCACTGTCAGACAGTTTGCCGTCTCTGCTCCTGCTTAGAGCAGGCTGAGGCCCCACTTCACCAGGCAGTCCCCAGGGTGTCTGTATAGGCAGGACCATCAGGCCTGCTGGGGCAGAAAGGAAACAGCAGGTGCACTCACTTGGCTCATGTCTATGGAACACATTGTAGATGCCAGTGTATTCTGCACCTGGGTTACAACAGTGACGACGAGGAGCCTGTCTTGGTGAGGCTTTTGGTCAGGGGAACACTGGAAATTAGAGGTCCTGAGCCATCCAGGGTGGGCTCACAACTGTCCATTTCATACCAGCCTTGCTAAGCACATAGAAGTATAGCCCCCAGGGGCCTGCCACATCAGAAGATTCGGGCCACGGCCACGAGGGTGACTCATCGCCTCCTGGGCAGGAAGAGGAGTAGGACTCTTCTGAGCAGATTAGGATCCTCAACTGGAGAGAACACAAAGCTTTGAGCTTTTAAATATTGATCTAGAGTTTCACCCTAACTTTGGTCTCTAGGCCATTTTGTGGGACAGACTGTGGCCTTTTGGGGCCCCATTGCCTTGTTAATAAATTTATAAAATGTCTTTCCTTTTCCCTTTTGGCCACTTGGTCTTTGTACTCCTAGGACAAGGATTTGCCAAGCAGGGTGGGGGCTGGAAGCAGGGAGGTGTGCAAGTGGCCAGGGTTCCAGAGTTGGGAAACGTAAGGGCTCTGTGAAGCTCTGCTTCTGGCCATCATCACAGCCCACAGAGTGGGTGGTGGGGGGCAGCGCTGCAGGGGGAAAGTGGGAAGGGAAACACCCTCTGGCCGATGTTCCGTGGTCTGTACATCCCCTGGCACCCCTGAAATTGTCACAGGAGGAAGGCACCAACCTAGGACCCCATGAGTGGCCCCTCGCTTCTCAGACTGCCCTGGTCTGTGTACCCAGACCCAGTGTGACATAGTCCTTCGCCCTGAGAGGTGTGTGTTCTCCTCACAGTAAGCACATGGCTCCTTGTGTTTGGTGGTGATACAATCGAGAACCTCTCTGGCCTTCTGTTTACAGGGAAGGCAGATGCCTCCTCCTGACTTGGGCTGTCTTTAGACAGGAGGCAGTGTCCTTGGCCAGGAAAAAGTTCTCTGGCGGGTCCTCAGGACCTTTCACCCTTAGGATCTAAGACCCTCACCTTCCCATTAGCATGCTTTTCAGTCTGTGCCTCATAAATACTTAAAAGTCAGAGAACAAGGTGTCCCCCAGGATGCCGGCCAGCAAGACAGTCCTCCCATCTCTCACCTGTCTTATAGCCTCTCACCCATGGCTGTGCCGGGCCCCACGCAGAGATGCCATCTCTAATATGGCTCATGACAAGCTGTGACCAAATGCTTGGTACAGATGCAGTTGTCGATAATACCAAGTGACACGTGTCTGGGGAGGCATGTGGCTGCTGTGTGATCCACACCCAACCATTCAGCCTTAGGCTCTGATGGGAAGAGCATTGGGCCTGGGGCCAGGAAATCTGGGTTTCAGACCTGGTCTTTTCGACTCTTGGGTAAGTCATTCCCCTCTTCTGAGCCTCTGCTTTATCTGTAAAATGAGGTTAAGGATCCTTGCTCTGCTTACCTTCTGCGGTGGTTTTGAGGCTCAGATGGAATAATGGGAGTGAAGGCATTATACAGAAGCATGATGCATACATAGACACTCATCCAGCCTTCTCAAAGACAGATCTTACCAGGGTAGGGACCTAAGCTTAGAGCCAGGCCTGGGGCTTGCTTCCACATTGCATGACCCAGTCTGGCCCCTGCTTCTCCATCCTGCTTGCTATCCAGGGCTGTTGGGGCCTCACAGGTGAGGGACAGCACCAAAGCTCTGGTTCTGGGCAGGATTTACTGCTGGGGAACAGAGGGAAACCTGGCAAGGCTCGATCTCTGGCCTCAAGGTCTTGTCCTGTAGGGAAGGAAGGCAGACGTAGGGGGGCAGCTGTGCAACCTGTCAGATGCTCAGTGGAAGGACACAGGCTTGGTGCTGAGTCCTAAAGAAGAAAGTGAGGCTGCCAATGACCACTTGGGGGGATAGCCTGGAGGAGGCACTCAGTGCCAGCTTCAGGAAGCAGGGCATTTGCAGGGCCAGGAAGGACCAACCAAGAGCTGCTGCCTCCTTCCAGGCAGAGGATGCTAGAGAAGCTGGACAGTGCCTCCTGTTCTGTCCCTTGGCCTCCACCATGCCTGCAGACATTGAGCAATACTGTAAGCACCCTGTCTGCAGGGTGGTTGACTTCCGTTCCCAGAGAACACTGGACTCCCCTGGATTCTTCACCCTGTTCCAGTGTAACCTGTGATCCTGGGTCCTTTTGCCCTTGGTATGGCTTCCCAGGCCATTGCCCAGCCTGGGCCGTCCCTTGGGGCCCTCCACCAGGCGGGCACAGTCCCAGCCATCAGTGAGGCTGACATGAACGGCGTATCATAATTAGAGAATCTCCAAGCTGGAGCTACCCTTAGAAGCTATCTCCTCCAGCCAGCACCCCACCTCCCCACCTGTCTCATATGCGAATTAACTGTTGGTTCCTGCATCTCTGCTCAGAGGTCCGTGTCCCAGGCCCCTTCCTCCGATAACCATTCTAATCACTGGGTCCACTCTTTCTGAAATTCCCACTGGCAGACCTTTCAGGCCATACAGAGTAAGCTTATCTCGTTCTTGTTGTAAGCCAGGCTGAATAAGCATTATGTTCCAAAGCCTGTTAATTCCTGAAGCCGTGGAAGGGTGCTTTGTTCCCATCTGGGGCCGACAGTGGTTCCCAGGCTCTTCCAATAGGCTGGGCTGCTGGGGGGAGTGCTCTGGACAAGCACTGCATGCCGCCGCTCTTAAGTGTTACCTCTGAGACGAACCTTTGGTCCGTGGGCTCCTGAGGCTCCTTGCAGAGAAGCCTTGGACTCACTGTCTCCAATCTGTAGGGTCTGAGTTGGGCAGGGGATTGAGTGGGGTGTGCGACAGGAAGCCTGGGTCCTTTACCCTAGGTTCCTTAACATGCAGGTGTATCTGTTTCTGTACACACTCATCCCCTCATCCTGGTCTCTGCATCCTGCCAGGACTCTGGTAGGTCTGCATAGACCTGTCACCTCCGTTCATTCCCTGAACCTGAGACACAGGTGACTAGCTAACAGGTCACTTAGCTAAAGCTGCCTGAGCTGGGCTCTGGGCGGGTGCGTGTGTGGAAGGGTTGGCACCTGCTCTCACTCCTGCTTTCTGCTGGCCTCTGGGATGGTGCCGGCTCTTTCCTGCAGTCTTCATGGGGTGCTCGCTGTCCCCAAATCCCACTGGAGTGGGGCTTCTGAGAGTGGGGTCATTGCCGGGGGCGGACCTGGAGCTGACACCTCTTCTCTGGACAGATGGGCCCCCATTCCCAGTGCTCCCCTGCTGGGCAGGGGAAGAACAGCTTTTCCCAGCAGGGGATCACCTGCCCTTCCAGCCTCTTTTTTCTTTTTTGGACCCTTCATTGGTGAAGACTCTGCTGGCCCAAAGAGAGCCCCCGCGACCTGACTCCAGGCCTGGCACCCTCCCACCCTTGCCCTGACCCCTCCTGTAGTGTCTTCCCTTGGCTCCCCCTTCCTTCCTCTTCTCTCTCTGCACTCTTTCTACCTCCTTCCTCTTACTGTGCCTCTGACTTCCCCCTGAACCTGTTCCTCGGCCTTCCTCTGCTTTCTCTTCCCTCCCTTGGTGCCAGGCTGTGGCTTAGGGTCCCGGCTGCTCCCCCCCACTCTTCTGCTGTGGTTGACGACGCGTGTAGAGCTCAGCCGTACTGCCCGAGGGGCCCGTGCCCTCAGAGCCACAGGGGAATTGGTTTACCTCCCCTACAGGAACCTTCAGGAGCCCACGGGATGCCACATGCCCCCCTCTGCCTTTGCTTCCTGGGTGCAGGGGTGCAGGTAGAGCCTGTCCTGGGAGGAGCCGCAGGATGCCAGGATATTGCTGGAAGCTGTCCTTTTCCTGAAAGACCAGGGCCACCCCACTAGACACCTGTCTCTTGTTCTCAGCTCACAGGAAGGAAGACTGAGGCTCAGAGAAGAGAGATTTGCCCACAGCCACATAATGAGATTAGGATCCAGCTCCTCTGCCCCAGGGTGTAGGACTTCCTGCGGCCTTAGGCTATCTGGGTCTGATGGCTTGGTGCAGGTGTCCAAAGGGCCCTAAGCCTCAACTTCCTAGGACCCTAGTGTTCTGTTCCCTCTGTAGGGGTGGCCACCTAACACGTTGTGGGTAATGTGTCCCTTCGGGGGGGCATCCCAAGGCCCTGGGGCCCTGGGCTGCAGTTTTGTGTAGATAGTGTGCTTTCTGGCCACGTGGAGCCTGCTGATCCTGGAGTCATAGGATAGCAGTGCTGGAGCAGAGAGGTGGGGCAGGAGCAGGAGACTTTGCCTGCTTGTCCCAGATTTGCTGTGTGTCCTCTGAAATCATAATTTGGGGCCTCAGTGTCCCCATCTGTGAGGCCCTGACCCCTCCGTAGCACGGATTGATACTAGCTACTCTAGGGTGAAGGATCACTGCAGTCCCCAGTGGCAGCCTTGCATCCTCCATATTAGGAAGGGTAGAAGAAGGTTCCTGTAGCGGTGGTGCTACTCCCCTGGGACTCTGGGAGGTGTATGGCCACCGGAAGGGAGCCCTGGGACAGACCCCGTCATTTAGCTCAGAGCCCAGGGCGGGCATGGAGAGTGATGTGTCACAACTTGGGCTCTGAGCAGGAAGTCGTCCCAGAGCAGGGGATGCAGGGCTTCTGGCCCTCCCCAGACATCTCCCTCCCAGAAATGCGGAGATGTGGGGTGGGTCAAGCCTGCAGCCCCACTATGATCCCCTGTACGACTGGGATTCCCAAGGTGCCCATCTCCCTCAGACACGAGAGGCCTGGGCTCCTCTTCCCATCACCTGACTGCCCTGCCTCCCAGCTCTGGGGAGGGTTGGAGCCCTCTTGGGGGCAGGAGGGATGGATCCAACTGAGGAAGGGAAGAGGGCACCTGGGCACGCGTGGTCCCCAGAAAGTGGTCCCGGGGGGAACCCCCGCCCGCAGACACCCCTCCCTATGAAGGATGTAAAAAAAAAAACTTGTTCTACCTTTTTGTCTCCCCTCCCCCTCTGCCCGCCCCATGGCCCCCCCAGACTGCCTGCGCGTCGGCTGCGCACCCAGTAAGTGGCTTCCCTCTTCTTCTGCAGAGCCCCCAGGGTCCTGGGATGCTGGGCACTGGGATCTGGGGAGGGACAGTGTGGGGAGGACAGCCTTCCTCACTAGCCTGTGTGGGGATTGGGCAGTGGGTGTGGGGAGGGGAGCAGGCATGAGGGCGGTGGGGGTGGGGTGGCTGTGGAGGGCAGAACCAATGAGGCTGAACCAGGAAGGGCTGGTGGAGGGCCCTGGGTCAGCACGCTCACTAGCTCTGAGAAGGCCAGGAAACCTTGTCATCTCAAGTCCCCAAGAAGGTGGGGCAAAGACTTGGTGGGGGGGACAAAGACTTGGTGGCACCCGCAGCAGGACAGCCCCCCACCCTATGGCCAGAAGAAGCCAGAGAGGCGCTGGGAAGTTCCACTGCATCTTCAGAGGTGGCCACAAGGGGGAGGGCGAGGCCCGCAAAGAAGAAGATGAGGGTCAGGGCTTCAAAGTTCAGCCCTCCACAGCTCCTGTGTCAGGCAGGGGCTGAGTTTCTGCCATGTGGGGGTGCATTGAGAGGGGGTGCATTGAGAGGCTCTCAGCTGGGTGAGACGGAGAGCAGGTGTGGACATTTCTGAGCATCCGGGTGTGCTGGGCTCAATGTTCTGTCTTCGGGAGAGTGTTTCTGCGTGGTGTGCCCTGATGTCATGCAAGAGAGCACTGGGAACATGGCAGACACAGGCCGAGGGGCTGTGTGTGTGTGTGTGTGTGTGTGTGTGTGTGTGTGTGTGTGCACGTGCACGCTCAGCGTGGTTCTGTGTGTGTTTGGTACCTGTGTGCCCATGCGTGGTGAACCCTGTCCCCGCTAGCCTGAGCACTGGGGGTCTGGGTGGTGATCTGGGAGTGCAGCACAGTTTCATATCGTCCTAAAGAAAAAGATATTTTGTTCTAGACTTGGGGTCAGATAATTCTGATCTTGAATAAATGGTCATAATTGCTAAGAAACGTTCCTCTCTCTGGCCATGTTGGTTGTGCTGCGTGTGTGGTTGCACATCCAGGGGTGTGGAGTTGACCAATTGTGTACAGAGAGGTCACATGGGGACCCTCTGTAGATGGGGGAGCTGTGTGTCTGTGTGAAGGTCTCACTGCCAGCAACGGAGCTGGGAGTACACAATACAAGTGGGAGCATGGTAATGCTCTGTATTTTTGAAAATTATAGGTCTATGACTATATGCTGGGAATTTCACTGCTGGCTACACACACTGACATTGAAGTTCCTTAGAAGACTTGGAAAGAAAATGTTGGTTGTAGATATGGGTGTCTGTGTGCAAGGCCTCAGGGCACAACTCTGGAGGCACCATTCTCATCAAATTCTAATCCAATGATGCCCTTGGAAATTGCCCAGAATGGCAGCACTGAGTGTTATCTGGATTTATGACCGGGTGTGTAAAAATAGCATGAGTGTGTGTACTTGTGTGTGTGTGTGGGTGTGTGGCACAGCTGAATATGTGCCATAGGTTGAATGTGTGGACCTGGGCGCACATGTGTGTATGCGGGGGGTGGGGAGAAGACTCTGTGTGCTTGGGGGGGCCCACAGAGCCATATGCGAGTGCGTGTGAGGGCCGTGCTCACTCCCCCATTGGTGCCACAGGTAAAGGCCCTGAGACGCTCTTTGCGGGGCACAAGCTCAATGATAACGAGTGGCACACGGTGAGGGTGGTGCGGCGTGGCAAGAGCTTGCAGCTGTCTGTGGACAACGTCACCGTGGAAGGTAAGTGGTCTGAGACCAGGGAGTGGATACATTTCTAGCGATCTGTGGGTGGCCCTGTTCTTGGTGACAGCTGCCTGGGTCTCCACTCCTAGGGACCACATTCTGGCGAGCTACCGTGGTAATCTCTCCCTGAGGGTGGTATAGTATGGGGGGCCCCCCTGACCATGGGGGACTGTTTTAGCTCCTTGCAGGTGGCATGGCCCCGGATGGCTGTGAGCACTAGGCCACTGAGTTGTCTGGCTCCTCCTGGGCCCTGTTGTCAGCAACCCCCCCCCACCACCACCACTGAGGCTCTTATGTGGAGCCGAGGCTCCTGGCACCCAACGCCCAGCCCCGGAAATGATCCCCCAGTCTGCCTGCCTCATCTCTGTCTCTGGTCCTGAGCAGGACAGATGGCAGGAGCCCACACGCGGCTGGAGTTCCACAACATTGAGACAGGCATCATGACAGAGCGGCGCTTCATCTCTGTGGTCCCCTCCAACTTCATCGGGCACCTGAGCGGGCTGGTGTTCAACGGCCAGCCCTACATGGACCAGTGCAAGGATGGCGACATCACCTACTGCGAGCTCAATGCTCGTTTTGGCCTGCGGGCCATCGTGGCCGATCCTGTCACCTTCAAGAGTCGCAGCAGCTACCTGGCTCTCGCCACGCTCCAAGCTTATGCTTCCATGCACCTATTCTTCCAGTTCAAGACCACAGCCCCCGATGGGCTTCTCCTGTTCAACTCGGGCAATGGCAATGACTTCATTGTCATCGAGCTGGTCAAGGGGTGAGGTGCTGGGCGCGGCACCACTGGCGAGGAAGGGATTCCCCTTCCTGGGCTGCCCAGAATCTGGCCCCCAGCTGCTGGCTGAGACATCCAGTCCCCTGAACCCATAGCTCAGGGCTCAAGTCCCCAGCCACCTGCCAAGATGGAAAAGCAGCATCCCCTTCCTCCACTCTGGCTACTCCCCAGTTACTGCCTCACCAGGATTTTCCCAGTTGTGTCTGTTTTTCATTCACTGTCCTGGCTCAGGCAGGTCCTCTCTGTAGACAGAAGGCAGGGCCCCTGCCCTATGGCCTCTCTTGTCTGAGGACCCCCTCCCAGAGCATCTCTGTCCCACCCCTGGAGGTCCCTGTTGTCCCCACGAATCTCTCCCCCCACCAGCTCCCCTTCTGAGCCTGTTACAGGATCCGGCTCCTCTGTGGCCCTCCATCCCCACGTTCTCTGCGTGATCGGACCTCACACCAGCAACCTCTTGCCCTTGGGCTGGGTCCTTCTGCTCCTGGGTCTCCCTCTCCATCCTGTGGTACCTAGGGTCCCCGCAAGCCATAGCTCCTCTTTACTCTGCCTTCCCAGCACTGCCCCTGCCTTGACCGGTGTCTCCTCCCTACCATGGGGCAGGTACATCCACTACGTGTTTGACCTGGGGAATGGCCCATCCTTGATGAAGGGGAACTCAGACAAACCGGTCAATGACAACCAGTGGCACAACGTGGTGGTGTCCAGGGACCCAGGCAATGTGCACACTCTCAAGATCGACTCCCGCACGGTCACACAGCACTCCAATGGAGCCCGAAACCTCGATCTCAAAGGTGGGGCCTGGGGCCTGTGGAGGAGGCCTGGCCCTAACTCAGACACCTCTCGGCCTCAGCAAGCTGCCTCCCATCCCTGACCAGTGTGCTCTTTCAGTTGGGTGGTCCTCTCTCTCCCCCGCCCACAGTCTCCACCTCCTTCCCCTTCTCTGCTGTGTCCAGTCTGATGTTTTCGGTTCAGTTCTCCAGGAGGCTGCCCTCAACACGTAAAGCCTGGCCACAGGATATGCCTTGGGGGGGGGGGAGCTTGGCGGCCTCGCTCTAGAGCTAGCAGTAGGTGGTCCAGGGCTTCTGAAGGCCTTTTGGCCTCCCAGCTTGAGCAGTCTGCCTTGGTTGAGGGCTGGAAAGGGATTGGGGAGCTTAGCGCCCTGGCAGGTGCCTCCTCCAGATGGGATAGGAGGGAGCAGTTGATAAAGGGACAACGGAGTAGTAGTTGTGGGGTGCCTGCCTGCTGCCTTTGTCATATACACTGGGCACTGGCTAGGCTAGCTCAGGCGACTCTTGGATTCAGGCTTCCCTTGTAGGCTTTGTGTCATACCAGAGTCACGCATTCCCCGGGCCTCTTGGGTAGCCATGGAAGTAGTCCTTGCCTGCCCGCAGAATGGGTGCCTGAGAGAGCAGGGAAGAAGGAGGAGCCTCCAGGCCCAGGGCTTGGAACAAAAATGAAGATGAGGCCTGAGGCTTCTCGAGGCCACTGGGGCAACATGAGCCACCTCTTTCACAGGCTCTGAGTAGCCCTCAGCCCCTGGGGACCCCTTTGTGTCAGTGTGATTCAGACTGTCTGGGCTAGGGGAGGGTCCTCAGAGACCAGGGAATTCACCCACCCCCCCCCCTTGGAGAGGAGAACATGGGAGCTTCAGAGGCTAGATAGCTTGCCTTAGGTCACCAAGTGAACCGGACTCAGAGTTGGAGCTGGAAGCCTGGTCAGGTACTGGCAGAGTGCTGCCAATCCTCCAGGCCCCCTGAAGGGGGCGATGTGTCACAGATAATCCATAGTGGCGGCAAACCCCAGGGTGGCTTGGGCTAGCTAGTCTTGTGTTGCAAGGAGCTGGTGGCCAAGACTGTCTTGCCGAAGCTTTGCTATGGGCTGGCCAAGACTTCCAGGGAGTTGGGTGTGATATGGCCAAGCAGCAGTGCCTGGGATCAGGTGTCCCTGAAGAGAACTTCCTGGAGTCACTCAGAGTCCCTAGGCCCAGCACTGGTTGTGGGGGAGAGGGAGATAGGGTCAGAGCACTGAGCTGGCTGAGAGAGGCTTGAAGGAGCCGTGGGAACAGAGAAGTAAGGGAGTGGGAGTGGTGCAGATGGGGCCTCATGTCTCTGAAAGGCCCTGATTACAGGCCGGAACTGGAATCAGATGTGTGGGAGAGAGCATGGAGCCCGTTCTTCCAGCTGCTCCCACCCCTCCCCACCAACCCCGCCCTGGGCATCTGGGCTTCTCTTGGGGTGGGGAAGCAGACAGATGGCAAAGTGGAGAAGGAAGAAGGAAGAGGTGGGGGTGGGTCGTGGGATCTCCAAAGAGAAACTGGAGTCTGGGAGGGAGGGGATGCTGCGGGCTGGGAGGATTTGTCAACCAGATGCTGGTGTCCCAGGAGGGGGACGGGGACACCAGGGTGCCTAGGTTTTGACCTCTCTTCTTTTGCAGGGGAATTGTACATTGGTGGTCTGAGCAAGAACATGTTCAGCAACCTGCCCAAGCTGGTGGCCTCCCGGGATGGCTTTCAGGGCTGCCTGGCCTCGGTGGACCTCAATGGACGCCTCCCAGACCTCATCGCTGACGCCCTGCACCGCATCGGGCAGGTGGAGAGGGGCTGTGATGGTGAGTGTAGGGTGGAGGCGTTAGGTGTGATTCTGCAGGCTGCAGGAGGGCCAGCTGCCCAGGTGCACTGGGGCAGCCAAAGTGCCCCCATAGCTCCGGGGCAGGGCTGCAGGGGCTGAGGGGTCTCTTGCCCTTCCTATTGCCTCTTACCTCCACCCCTTATCACAGGTCAAGCCCAAACCTAGCAGTCCCTGAGGTTCCTTCCCCTTGCCCCCATTCCCTTGTCAGGTTTTGGCCCTTTTAGGCCTGGCAGGGCTGAGAGCCGGACCCCTGGCCTGGCTCTGAAGCTTTCACACCTCCTGGGGAGGGAGGGGTCTTGACTGAGTGGGGGGTGTTCCTTCCTCCTGCCTCTTCCAGGCCCCAGCACCACCTGCACCGAAGAGTCCTGTGCCAACCAGGGCGTCTGTTTGCAACAGTGGGATGGCTTCACCTGTGACTGCACCATGACTTCCTACGGAGGCCCTGTCTGCAATGACCGTGAGTGCCCGGGGAGCTTCTGGCCCAGGCCCATCTGCAGGGACCATCAGGGAGGGAGGAAGGGTCTCTGAGAGCCATTCTGCTTCCTTCTTAGCCCTTCCTGTTGAGAGCCCAAGGGGAGCTGCTGGGTACCTGTCCACTCTTGGAGACTTTTCTATTGGGCCTGTGCAGGATTGCTGCTGCTGAATCTTGGGGGCAATCTGTTGCCAGGTGGCCTCCTCTCCTCATTCTGAGCTGGTTGGACACCACTCCCTTCACCTATGACCAAAGGTGTCAGGCTCCATTCCTCCTGGGAGATTTTGGTGACAGTCTTACATGCTTTATTTGTAGCTCACGCATACATGCTATTACGTGGGACAGTGGGCAGGGGCAGGTGTTCACCAGTACCCCTTTTCCTCTGGTGCCCTCAGAAGCTTGCAGTGGAAGTCTCTGATTTCCTGACCTGGGTAGGCCCACTCCCAGGGGGGCAGGCTCAGGAGGTTCCCTGGGGGCCAGGCCCAGCTGGCTTCCCTAGACTCTGGCTGTGCAGGTTCCCACCCCTGTCCCGAGGGAATCTCAGCTACAGATTGTCCCTTGGAGTCACAAGGACACTCCTTAATGTCCTTGCCTGGTTTTTCTCCTCACCTGGGCATCTGTCTGCCAACTTGCATATTATTTAAGGCCCCTCCCTAGAGAGGGCAAGATGGACAGCAGTTTCTAGTCCCTTGTGGTTGGTACCCAGCAGCTGGTTAGAGCCTGGGGCAGGGAAGCTTCTATCTGAGGGGGGCAGTGGCTGGGAGAGGGGACAGCCTTCTCAGGCATCACCTGATGATCTTCCCAGGGGTAGGCCTGTTGAGAGACCAGGGATGTGACAAGTCAGTGGCCTGGGAAAAGATACACACACACACACACACACACACACACACACACACACACACTATGCAGCACTGAGCTTCTTCATTTTACAAACTTGGAAACTGAGGCCCGGAGGGGTCAGTGGATTTCTGGGGGGTAGTTAATAGTCGATCTAGGCTAAAAACAGGTCACGATGCCTTTGCCTCCATGCCAGGCCTTGGAGCCTTAGTCATCTGAGCCTGAGTCCTGACTTTCTTACAGGATAAACCTACCTGTTTCAGGGCTTGGGCTCTTGGGCAGATGTTGGGTTTTCCTTCTCTGGAAGTATGTCCTTCTCTGGAAGTATGTCCTGTCGCCCTCAGTGTTGTCCTGGTTCTCAGGCATGGCCCAGCCTTGAGTACCTCCACATCCCCATCCTGTCTCCAGGATTTTCTTGTCGGCTCACTCTCTGTATACAGGAGATCTGGAGACGGTGGTCACTTTACTGCTTCATAGTAGCAATGCCTGCTGATTGTTTCATGTTTGGCAGCTCACAAGGCACTTTTAATTTGTTCCTCAAAGAAGGCAGGGGGATGGAGACCGGCTATCCTGTTTAAATAATGAGGACACCAAAGCTGTTTCCATGCCCTAAGTCCTAGGATGCTGGGGGCAGAGTGCAGCTAGGACCTAGGAGCTCCTGCCTCTGTTACCTCCCGCTGCTCCTTTAGTCCTGGGTGCTGGTGGTGCTAATAGTGGGCATTTCTTGCCTGGAGGGCAAGGGATCAAGGTCAAGAAATGCCACTGCCCATCGTCACTACTGACTCCCACACACTGGAGCCTTCTGGAGGCAGGCATAGTGATTGATGGGGGTTTAAGGGAGTCATGCCATCTTTTTTAGCAGGGGTGGGAAGAGAGGTGGGAACAGCTTCTCCAGGTTCCAGGCAGGTGGGAGGCAGGGATAATTGAGGCTGGGGAGCAGAGCACATCTTGGCAAGAATCATCATCCCCGAGCAGTGGTCTGTGTGTCTGGTGGCCGAGCCTGAGCAGAGCCATGCAGGTAAAGACAAGGTGGGTGCAGCCTGGCAGCTGTCGGGATTCTTCCTGCTGCTTCGCCAAATACCAGCCCTGGGTGACCTTCTGAGATCTCCGCCAGTGAAGGGCAGGCAGGAACCCTGGGTTTGGGGGTTCTGCCATTGCTTCCCAAACCCTAATTCCCTCTTCTCTGGGAGTCGTGCCTCCTGGTTCTCCACGCTTGGCTGTTTTGTGTTCATGCTGCCTCTCTCTGGCTGATCTCATCAAGGCCCTGGCGAGGCACAAGATCAAGCAGGAACCTGGCCAAGAGGCCTGTTCAGTTCACTCTGCCCCTGAGTGTGAAGGCTCTGAGAAGGCCGCTGGTCACGAAGAAGACAGGGAGGAGGGTTGGGGTTGTCTTGTGGGGGAGAGACTGGGATAGGGAGAGGTCTGACCAATTTGTGGACTCAGTTTCTCCATCTGTGACATGGGGTGTGAAGAACCTCTGTGTCCCTTTATATCTCTGTAGTCTGCACTGGGAAGGCAAGAGAGATCACAGGAGGGAACCCATCTCTGCCAAGAAAGAGAAAGAGAGAAAGAGAGAGGAAGGGAACTCCCTGCCATGGCACTTGGGTTCAGGACCCAGGCACTCCCATCAGGCCTGCTATGGAGTGGGGGGGGTGGGTGCTGTCTTCCAGAGCCCCCCCCAGGCAGCAGTTCTTCACCATGTCTTACCCTGTTTCTCATCCACTTGCTCTGTCCCTCTCTGCAGCTTCTATTAACTCTCACACACCTCTCTCTTTTTTTGTACCTTCTGTCTCCCCTCCTCGCTCCCCAGTGCTACCCTCTGCAACTCTCTCCACTTCCCACTCACTAATATTGATTGCCCTCTAGGCGGTTTCCCTTCCTCTTCTCTCACAGCCACCAGCTCCTCCCTCCCTCCCTCTGGGACCGTACATTTTCTGCCTGCCCAGAGCTGTGTCAGTCTCTATTCCAGAGCCAGGGGCAGCTAAGAACGGGACAGAGGGGCAGGAGGACAAGGCTTGGGTGGGGTGGAGTGGGGGTAGGGGGGGGCTTTGCAGGCTGCCCTCTCTCCTCCCTCCCAGAGCCCTGTAGCACCTTGTAGCTTTCTCTTATGAAGGGCCTGGGGCCAATGGGGGTGGGGAGGTGGTCCTGGGTGCTGACAGCATTTGAGAGTGGCCTGCAGCACATGTGCAGCTCTTGGTAACAGGTTTTGCTCCAAGATGGAATTTGGCATCAATAGGCAGGAGCGAGTCCTCTCCTGCCTGGGTGCCCCACACTCCCTCCCCTTTCTCATTTCACCTCCTCCTTCCTTTTGCCCTTCCTTTTGGCCTTTCTTCACCACCTCTCCTCCCCACCCTACTATACTGTTTCTTTGGCTCCTTCCAGTTCCATCTCCACCTCCCTTCCTATCCTTTTTCTACCCTCTGGCTCCCCCCACACATCTCTTTCCTGGTCCTAACGGAACCCAGATTGATGTGGGTGCAGAGGTCACATCCAGATGAAGGCAAGGGAGACTCTCTGCACTTATCTCTTGGGCTATGACAGGTGCTTCCCAGAGGTCTCCAAAACTCTGCGGGGGGTGGGGGTGGGAGAGGGACAGATCTCAGTGAAGGGGCACCTAGAAGGGCTTTCTCAGCTGAACATAAGTGACCCAGGAAGGGTTTTGTACTACATGGGACACTCAGTGGACAGGTGTCCTGGAAACTTCGAGGAGGGAGAGGTTGAGGCTGGGGGAGGGGCGGGGGAGTGGAGAGAGGGAGGATTGGAGAAGTTCAGGGGTGTGCAGGGGGTAGGGGAGCACCCTTTTGGGTAGGTGGTGAGAAGACTGTGTGTGTGTGTGTGTGTGTGTGTGTGTGTGTGACCTGACTCACTCTTGGGTACCTTTGAGGCTCTGGGTCATTGTTTTTGGAGGGTGAGCTGGGAGGAGGTGGCTGTGTGTATGTTGGCTGTTCATCCCCTGTGGCCAAACATGTATGTGTGCACGCTCATGTGCCTCTGTGCATGTTCACACCCCGTGCCCCTCCCCCGAGCTGCATGTGAGTCCGTGTGCCAGTGCCTGTGAGCACATGTGTGCATGTATGTGTCTGAGCCGACGTGTGCCTGCGCGCTCACTGGCGCCTGTGTGGGCACGTGGGTGGCTCCATACCCGTCCACATCCTAGCGTGCAAGTGTGTTCCGAGGGGTGCGTGCAGAGGTGGCCGCGGCCACATCCCTGCGCGCCGGACCCGAGAGCACTACTGGGGTGCGTCCAGGTGCGGGAGAAGGGAAGGTGGAGGAAGGGAGCTCGCCTCCCTCGCTCGCCTCGGTCGCGTTCAATTATTCAGCAGGGCCCCTTCTCCGGGGCGGGGAGCGCGCGCGCCCGGGCGCGGGGGAGGGGCGGGCGCGCGCCGAGGAGAGGCGAGCGCAGAGCGGGCTAGCCAGGTGCCGCGCGGCAGAGCTGCCCAGCGCCGCCCGCAGCTCGGGAGCCGCTCGGGTCCCTCCGCCCTGCACCCCCCCTCCCGCGCTCCGTCTCCCCTCCCCTCTCCACTGCTCGCCTCTCCTCCCTCCCCAGCTCCCTCCCTCCCTCTCCCTTCCAGCCCTCAGCCTCTGCAGCAACACTCCGCTGCCTCCATCTCTCCGCCGGAATCTCGCAGGCTCGCGCCTCTCCTCTGCTCAGCCCCGCTCCCCTCCCCTCCCCTCCTCTCCTCTCCTCTCCTCTCCTCTCCTCTCCTCTCCTCTCCTCTCCTCTCCTCTCCTCTCCTCTCCTCTCCTCTCCTCTCCTCTCCTGCCTTCATTCCTCCCTCACCCGGATTTGCTTCCCTCCTCCCTTCTCCTCCCCCCCGGCGCCCCCCCCTCGGCCGCTCCCTCCTTTCCCCGGGCCTCCGTCGGGCGGCCGCGGCATCGGCGGCGCGGCCGGCCCTGGTCTCCGTCGGTCTCCCGCGTCTCCCCCCCGGGCCCCCTCCTCCCCCGGCTCGGTTTTTCCGCAGGATTTCCCCCCGCTCTGCCATCCCTGCCTGGCCCCCGCGCCTCCCCTGCCTCTCCGCCCGGCACCATGCCCCCTCCCCCGGGCGCTCCCCCGGGTTTCTGACGGCCCCCTGCGCCGCTCCGACCCCGCCGAGATGCGGGCGGACCCTTAGCTCCTTGGGATGGACCCAGGCGTCCTGGATCTTGGC